CTACCTGCTGACTGACCTCGGAGAGCCGCCTCGTTCTCCTCCAGTGCTGTACGTAGACAACAAGGCCATACTGGCCTTGTGTCGAGAGCAGCGCCTGGAGCACAGAACGAAGCACATTGCTCTCCGCTGCTTTCTTGCTCGTGAGCTGCAGCAGCGTGGTCAGTTGCGACTTGCGTACGTGGCCTCTGAGGCCAACACTGCTGATGTTTTCACCAAGGCACTTCCGCCTTGTGATAATCAGCGCTTCTGCACTCAGCTAAGTCTTGTGCCTGTCATGCCTCACTTGCTCACTTCTTGACCTTGCTTGTACTCTTACATATATATATTTATATTTATATATATATACTTGCTCTTGCTTGTTTAGTCTTATATATATATGTGTACTCCTGCATTTGAACTGGCCTTGTGGCCTTGACCTTGTGCTCGGACTGTGTGGTGACGTTGTGATCCACCCTGAGCTTTGCTTTGCTTTGTTTGACTGGTCTTGTGACCCCTTGTTCTCTCCCACTTTGCCTATGGGGGTGTGTCAAATTATAATATTGTATAGGCTATAGTGGGGTAGCCCAAATGGGGTAAACAATCCTAGGGTTGCATATTTGTATGACTTCCATTCCTTAGTGCATCATTCTCGTTCTCATTTCCTCAGGTTCTTTTTTTGAAAAATGAAACATGTAATTCTAAAGAGGTATATCTTTCTCACATGAAAAAAAAGGCCAACGTTGCAGTAATTACAAAAATCAAAAGCCCGATGCCCTTTCGTGGAAAGTTTTTTTAACCATTTTGCAATTTCGCAATCATGCTATCAAAAATATGATTTGAACCCTTTTTATAGGAGCCATATGTATATATATATATTTGTATATATATAAACTTTAAAACTTCAACGGCGGCGATACCGTCAGGCCCCGGATACTAGCGCCCCTGGGGGTATAAAAAAACACTGTTTTTTAGAGGGTGCGCTTATAATCGAGGAAATTTATAAGCGCCGGCGTTTATAAAATGGCAAAACAAATTTCTATCTGTTTTACACCAAAGTGTAGATCTCGTTCTGCCAATTGTAATCGAGTCGAAAACATATGGGGTCGCGAATCTGATTCTCGCGCAACTTGGTAGGGAGTGATTCCCTGCCAACTCAAACTGACAGGATGACAGCACATGCTGACTAGACGCGCAAAAGTTGAGATCACAGTGTGGGAAATCAAGTTTGTAGTTCGTTTCCCTAATAATGTGAAATTCGTTTCTGTATTTCGTCAGGTTTTCAAATGAAAAAAAACATGCGCTTATAATAAATCATCTTTTTTTAGGGGGTGGGCTTATAATCGAGGACCGGATATAAGCGCCGTCATCCTTTTATAAGCGCCGGCGCTTATCCGAGGCCTGCGCTTCTATCCGGGGCCTTACGGTATTAGACTAAACAGGGTCCTTCAAAGTCGCGGCGGGACTTGTTCAAGAAAGATAGAACTGTGCGTAAAGGCTTTCAAACTCGATAAATTTCTCAATTTCAGGATCATTTCGGCGGGAGTATCATGTAGTTACCATTTGCGTGATGGGCTGCTAGTGTATAGTTACCATACGCGTTAAGCGAGTTACCAAACGTGTTAAGCGAGTTACCAAACGCGTTAAACGAGTTACCAAACGCATTGAAATCGTGACCGTTCTCGATACGATTCCCCATGTAAGTTACCATTGACATATTTTCCCTCGAGTCAAGCATAACCCACTCTCTGGCCAAAACCGATTCGGCCCAGCTTCCACCCAGATGTGAATTTTACATTTTGTAATGAAGAATGTTGTATAGCGGTGTGCTTACATTGCTCAACTCTCTATGCCTAGCCCCTAGCTTTTAACAGAATTAGACCCCATAAAATCCTACAAATATCTCCCCACCCTAAGTCATAGGATGAAAAGGCAGAATATGATAGCATAAAGTGCCATTCATCTACTCTCTTCCACCCCTCAGCCCTCATGTTCCCTCTCTTAGAAGTAGCAAGGCAAAAGAGTACAAGCATGACAGCCTAATTGAGTTGTACTCACTATTCAGCACCTCACTACAGACTATAACAAATGTCAACATTTGACACACCCCCATAGGCTAAGTGACAGGCATCAAAGCTAGCAGGATGAACAAATGGTCACAAGACTAGTCAGGACAAGAAGTAAGGCAAGCTCATGGTGGATCTCAAGGACACCACACAAATTTCGAGCATAAGCAAGCAGCCACAAGGCAAGTTCAAGAGTTAAAATTATACCATTCCCCACCCCCTACCATATTTTAACCTATCGGATCTGTGTAACCTGGCAGATATAAACATTCTAGTCGTACATGGTACCTGTCAGACTTATATGATCTAACCTGCGTAGGCTGTAGCAGGTTAGATACTAAGGGGTACACAATTCTAGGGTTTCATTTTGTATCACTCTCATTTGTTAGTCAACCATTCTTCGTGATTCTCACATGGTATAAAGCAGCTTCCCTAGTGGGAACGTTTCCTAAGGCCCACCACTGAAAATCATTTCTTTTTCTTGCCCGGATCGCGCTTCGCTCCTGCCCGAGTCCCGCCGCGTGTGCCTACCCTGTCGTCACGTCCCCTGCCCTTAGTGGCCCATCGCGCCCTCTTACGGCTCCTCGCGGCCCCTCCCACAGCCCTTCGCGGCCCCTTCGCGGCTCCCTTGCGGCTCCTCCGCCGCCCTTCACGGCCCCTCTCACGGCCCTTCACGACCCTTGCGGCCCCTCGCGGCCCCTTTGCGGCCCCTCGCGGCCCCTTCTCGGCCTCGTCACGGCCCTTCGTGGCCCTTTCGCCACCCTTAGCGACCCCTTCTCCACTCCTCCGCGGCCCCTTCTCGACTCATTCACGGCCCTGCTGCCCAGCCGTCGTTGCCCCAGCAGTAGCAGCCGTCGCGCCATCACAGCCGCCGCCGCCACTGCCGGGGCCGCCACCGCCGCCGCTGCTGACAGCAGGAGCCGCCGCCGCCGGTGCAGTAATAGCAGCACCCGCCGCCGCCGCCGCCACCGCCCGGAGCAGCCGCCGCCGCTGCTGCCGTGACGGCCGCCGCCGCCTCTACCAGGGCCGCAGCAGCCGCCGCCGCCAACAGCAGGAGCCGCTGCAGCTGTCGCGGCCCTGTCCCTGTAGGCGCGCCTCGGCCCTGCCCCTCCACTTGCGGCACTCTACCCACCCGCCCTGGTAAGAGCACCGCCGAGGCGCGCCTCTGCGGCTGCGTTGCACCTAGCCTGCTGCTACTGCCCTTAGCCTGCTACTACTGCTGTCATGGCTACCCCTAGCGTTCTTGTCTTTAACGCTGAGGGTCGGGCTGTTGACTTTGAGGCCTGAGTTGATGATCTGCAACTTTTCCTACAGTGCGATAGGAAAGACGGTCTCTCACTGTTCGATCTCACGTCTGGCGCCTCTCCTGCCCCTACTGCCAATGCTAACAGCACTGTTCGCTCATAGTGGGTCACAAGCGATGGTGCTGCCCGTCTTGCTGTGCGTAGTCACTTGCCGTCCTCTGAGCGCGCGCACTTTAGTCAGTACAAGAGTGCTAACACCTTGTACGGCGCTATAGTTGGACGCTACTCTTCCTCTACGACTGTTGCCCTTAGCCGCCAAGATGCTACCGTACCTGTTCCCTGACCTCACCGCTTTTCCTCACCGCCCTTACGGGTGTCAATGCACTTCTCTTCTACTTTCTCATTCTCCCTCCCCATGTGGTCTCCTTGCCTTCCATCGTGCTCCACTTGCCTCCAACAATTGCCAACCTGCGGATGGAATCATGACATGGCAGACCATAACATGCCACACCATGACATGCCACATCATAACATGCCAAAAGATGGCACACCACACAATGGCACCAAAGGCGCACACACTAAACAACAGAATGCCACGCTATAGCATGCCATACTACTATGGCACACCACAGCATGGCATGCAAAACCATGCAAATGCAGAGCATCGCATCCCACAGCATGGGACACCCCAAACCACGCCATGGCATGAACACAATGACATGCCAAACCATGTCATCCCACACAATGCTCTGCCAAAACCTTACATCAGACACCAAATCATACAATGTGTAGATAGTATCATGCCATGCAATAACATGCCACACAGTATCATAACACACGCCAACATACTACACAACGTGCAGACAGCATCATACCATACAGCATCATACAATACAGTATCCTTCCATACAGTTTTATACAATATATTAGCATACTATACAGCATCGTAACACAGCATCATATGATACAGTATCATATCATACAGCCACTAACATATAGTACCATACCTTCCATTATCATACCATCTAGTATCACACCATACAGTAACATACCTTATAGTATCATACCATACAGTATCATACGATATTATTTGTACCATACAGTAGCATGCCATACAATAGGATACCATCCAGTAGCATAGCATTCAATAGCATACCATACACTAGAATACCATAAAATATCATACCATATTGTAGCATCCCATACAGTGGCATACCATACTAAAGCATACCATACAGTAGCATACCATACAGTGGCATACCATACAGTAGCATACATACCATACAGTGGCATACCATACTATAGCATTCCATGCAGTAGCATACCATGTAATATCATACCATACAGTAGCATACCATGTAATATCATACCATACAGTCACATACCATACAGTGGCATACCATACAGTAGCATACCATACAGTAACATACCATATAGAATCATACCATACAGTAGCAAACCATATCATATAGCATACCACATAATATCATACCATACAATAGCACACCCCCACAACTTACCAGCCCATCCCCCAGCAGTAGGAGCAGCAGACAGCCCACTCCCTTTCGGAAACAACAGCTTCAGTGGATGTGACTTGCAGGGGAGGTATGGCAGTGGAAAAGCATGGTCTGGCCCAAGACTCAAATCCCACCCCTGACGTAGCTAGAGCTGACGCGAACCAGAGCCGCCGGCCGGTCGGTTCTGACGGTGTCCATTAAGCTTTGAACGCCAGATCGGTTACTTGAGCACCGAGTGCCGCCGCCACGCAGATTCCACCCACCACACCCCACCTACAAGCCACAACCCCAGAGGGTGCCGCCCCTGAGAGACTGTGCTGCCCAACCCCCACTGCTGCTACAGCTGCTGCTGCTGCTCCGCTTCTGCTGCTACAGCTGCTGCTGCCGGTCTGCTTCTCAGCTGCACTCTTCCCTTGATGCCAAGTGACCTGGTGGCGGGCAGAAAGGAGAAGAAGAAATGATGAGTAAGGGTTCGCAAAAACATGGCAGAGGGTAAACCTGCCAGAAGTAGAAAGAAAAAGAAACTCACAAAAGTGATGACGGTAAGATAGAAGAGAAACATGCAGCAGAAAGAAAATTGAGGGAATATCTAAGAGGCCAAGGAGGAAGTTGACATACCTTGAGAGGCCGAGCCCACCCCGATTCTCTCCCTTGTGGCAGCGATTGCCATCTGCTGCAGTGCTGCTGTCCTCCCATCCCCACGGATCCCTGCACAGCCACACGGGAGGGGCGTGGGGGAGCGTCGGTTTCGACCCCAGTGCCCCTCCCCTCCACCTGCAACGCACACAAGCAGAGGTAGTCAGTGCGCAATCATAACACAAGGCAGACATGGCAGCAGTTGACTTCAAACGCAGGGAAGTGGAGGGAAGGGGCCACTGGTGGAGGGAAGAATCACAAGCCACAGACCATCAAGGGAAACCTGAAAAGTGAACCTGAAAGTAGGGGGTAACCTGAGGGGGCTGAAAGGGCTAGGGCGGGCTTAACCTGAGGGGCTTAGGAACTGCAGTGGGGGGTGGTGGTCTGTGGCTTGCAAATCGGGACTCAACCAGCGGCGAGTTGTTCAAGGAGAAAACATGGAAGCACATGCGACATTGAATCAGGCAGCAATGTGAGGAAAGAGCAGCAAGCAAGGGTGAGACCAGGGAGGAGAAGGCACTTAGCTGGCAGCTGAAGTTGTTGACTTGACTCATTCCCTCCACTCCCCTGCTCCTTGTGCGCTCTCCCCCCTCCCTCACCCCTGGCCTCTGCTGCTGCTGCTGCTGCTGCTGCTTCCCCTGGTGACTAGCGAGTGACCTGGAAGGGGGCAGAACGGAAGGGAAGGACAGGGGGCGAGTGAGTGCAGGCCTTGGCCCAAGCAAGGGCGAAACAGAAAGTTGAGCAGCAGGGGGAGGCACTGATGCTAAGAGTGAAGAGAAACGAGCAGCAGAAAGCGAGGTTGAGGGCAAGGAGAAAGCCGACGTACCTTGAGAGGCCGAGCCCACCCCGATACTCTCCCTTGTGGCAGCGATTGCCATCTGCTGCAGCGATGCCTCCCTCCCGTCCCCACGAGTCCCTGCACGGCCACCGGGGAGAGGCATAGGGAAGTGTTGGTGTTGACCCCAGCGCCCCTCCCCCTCCACCTGCAATGAACACACACAGCAATGGTCAGTGTGCATGAAATGGCCGCAAGCACAAGTCACAGACCAGAAACTGGCTAGTCCGCAAGAGGTAGGTAGGGCCGCTGGTTGAGTCAATGCCACACGCCACAGACACCAAGGGAACCTGCACCTGAGAGGGTTACCTGCACACCTGAGAGGGTTACCTGCACACCTGAGAGGGTTACCTGAAGTGCGGGTGTCTGTGGCTTGTGAACTTCACTCAACCAGTGGCATGATTAAAAGGGAAGGGCGAAAGCACAACCAGAAAATGAAATTGCGCCAAGAAATGTACAAGGCATGATGCAGCAGGCAAGGGTGAGAGAGTGGAGGCGAGTTACTTAACTGACGTGTGAGGGCGAGATCAAGGCAGCTGCAGCACCTTCAGCTGCCTCTCTCAATGGCAGCCCTCCTCCCCGCCTTCCCATGCGCGTCCCTGCACGGCCACAGGGGAGGGGCGTGAGGGAGCGTCGGTGTAGACCCCACACCCCTCCCCGCCACCTGCAATGCGCACACACAGAGCTAGTGAGAGCACGGTGGTGGGAGCAAGGTGAATGGGTGAATGAGCACACAGCGCAAGAGAAGAGGGAGGAGCCACTGGTGGAGGCACGGCCACAAGCTACAGACCCAAGGGCACCTGAAAAAGAACCTGAGGGGTGTACCTCCACCTGAGAGGGTTACCTGCACCTGAGGGAATCACCTGAAGCAGGGAGGTCTGTAGCATGCGAGCTGTGCCCAACCAGTGGAAAAGTTTCAAGAGGACGGTACAACAGCAGATGAAACGAAGAAAACGGGGTGGCAGGCAAGGGTGAGGGCATGGAGGAACGGGTACTTAGCTGATGACGTGAGAGCAGGAGGCAGTTGAAGCAGCGTGGGCAGCAGGCATGGCATGGCGTCTCAGGCGACCAGCAGCGCTGCTCTTGAGCTCCTGCGAGGGGGTGTTGGAAGGGGGGGAATGGGAAGGGAGGGGAGGGGAATGGAGGGATGGGGATGGGAGGGGAGGGAGAGGCAGTGAGTGGGAGGGAGTCACTATCATGGAAGGGAACGCATGCATGAATAGAAGAAGAGCGAAAGGAGGGCCACTGGTGGACGCACACTCACAAGCCACAGACTACGGTCTATACCAAAAGGCTTTACCTGGAAAAAGGCTTTACCTGGGTGAGGGCTTTACCAGTAATGGGGAGGGTCTGTGGGCTGTTTCGTGTGCTGCCACCAGTGGTTCCGTTTTGAGAGAAACAGAAATGACAGACAATCGAAGCGAGAATGGATGCATGGAGGAGCGAGCACTTAGCTGATTATGTGGTTGTGTGCAGAGGGCAGGTGAAGCATGTGCCGGCACCACCAGGTGTTGTCTGCTGCCGCCAGTGGCTTGAGGCATGAGGAGAACGCTGATGCTGCCCCACGTCCGTCCGCCTGCCACTGCTCCTCGCGATGAGGCCTGGAAGCGGGGGAGGGGAAGGGAGGGGAGGGGAGGGGAAGGGAGGGGAAGGGGGGGGGGGGGGGGGAGAGGAGGGGAGGGTTGCACAAGGAGAGGCAGTGAGTGGGATGGGATGGAATGCAAGTGTGGTAGATTTGAGGAAGAGCGAAAGGAGGGGCCATTGGTGGACGCACACTCACAAGCCACAGACTACGGTCTTTACCAAAGGGCTTTACCTGGAAAAAGGCTTTACCTGGGGGGGGCTTTACCAGTAATGGGGAGGGTCTGTGGGCTGTTTCGTGTGCTGCCACCACTGGCTCGTTTTGAGAGAAACCGTAATGACAAGAAACGAACCGAGGGCTGACATGGGATGTGAGCACTTAGCTGATGATCGGTCATCGCTGCAGGCAACAGGTGAAGCCTGGGAGCCATGCACGTTGTCAAACGCGCGCATGCTGCTTCGGGCTCCTCATGGACTCCACCACTCCGCGTTTCTGCCATCGCGTGTTCGTCTCAGCATGGCTGACGTGCTGCCGGACCTGAAAAGTCAACAGCATAGGCATCCGTGAGATTTGAATACTTGAAACGTGTTTTTAATCGAAAATTAACGCGCATAAACGGAAAGCCATTGTGAGTTCTCGATTGTACCTTGAACCACGAGCGGAATCGCGAGCTCGCAGTGGCTGGTGCGCTTGAACCCGTCGCGAATGCAGCGGACGACGCAGATCAGTCAGCTGTGGCGGAAATCGACGTTGGATGGCGGACGTTGACAGGTTTTCGGATGCTCAACTGCCTGTAAACACCTTGAATTAACGTCGAATCAGAAATCCTATCGAAATATGCAACAAAAGGTGCCTAAAACATCAAAGCCATTACCTTCTCCGCGAAAGCACGTTGTGGTACTGTGCAGTTTCGGCGTTGCAACGACGGTGCTATTTGAGGTTCAAAGTAGGCCAGCTACAGTAGAGATTGATAGCGGACTGACGACGCTCCATTGCCTGCAGACGAGGAATACGCACGTCAGAAACTGGCTAAATCGACATAAATCGACAGAAACGGCGAGCTGAAATAACGCAGAATAGAAATTTACCTGTGTCAGAGCACATCGAAGCTCCGCAACCAGCAGCGAGTCTACGAGCCAATCCTCCTTATGCGCGTGAGGCTTGTCGTTAATCGCGTGTGTGAACGAGCTGCGACAGTTGACCGGTCGAAGTGCTTCATCTACGACTACGTTTGAGTCGAAGAGGTTCGAGCGCAATGTTCAAACGAACGTGCGAATGTCTAAACTGACTGGTGGAAATGTTGCTCTGAGAAACCCCTGGTCGAAATGCCGCTTCGAAAATCCCTGGTTGGATTGTCCTCTGTCGAAAATGCCTCGCGAGATTGGCATTCCACAGCCAACCCCGAGTGAGTGACGGGGACTGGGGTGTGGGGGGCTCAACTCTTGGTTCGCTACACGGCTACCGAAAAAGGGACAAAAAGGAAAGGTCCTCCTTGTTTTAGGCCGCGCGGCTCCGAAAGGGTTCGGACGTTGAGGTTCGGTTTCGGGAGGGATGGCCGTTGCAGCACAAAAGAGGGACTGAATGAGCGAGATCGTTGGATGGTTTTCTTACGAAACAGATCTAGGGATCAGATTGATCGAGTGGACGTTGTCGACCGGCGGGAACGGCGAACCGACAATTCGAATTGAGACACAGCGGCTCGTGTGAGTTTCATGTCAGTCAGTAAGCCAATTGAGGAGAGCCCACCCTAGCCGTTGGAAGGAACTTGTGTGTGAAGGAGTTGGGGTTGGATATATCTTGCTGCTGGGTCTGAGTATCTTGGGAAGGACTTGGCTTCTGTCAGATCCAAGCGAAGAGATACCTGTGAGAGTTTTGCGAAATGTTTAGCGAAAACGGTTGCTGATAGCGGACATATCGTGTAGCTGGCGAAGTGGTCTGTTACACGGCTCTACTGTTCACACACCTGGGGTTCACGTATTGTGGCTGACAATAACATGAATCGACAGCGAATGACATTTCGAGAGAATCGTGTGACGTGGCTTCCCTAGACCAATTGCTGTCGTGAGGCCCTGGCCTGGGCCAGTTTTGGTCTGGTTCGAGTGAAAAGGTTTTGGTTTGGCCAACTTTGGCCTGGTTCGAGTTGAGAGGCCGGAAAAGGTATGGTATGGTTTGAGGTAAGCTGGGTCGGTTTTGGGTTCACCTCCTTCGGTACTACCATTGAGGGTGCTGCCCGCACCAGCTGGTGGTGGTGGCTCCTTGTCCCCTTCCCCTTGTGCCAACAACTTCCAGGTCATGTCACCCCGCGTGGTGGTGCAGTGCAGTGCAGAGCCAAGCAAGCCAGCCTTCCCCTGCAGCCAACCATTCCCCTCCGCTCGAGCAAAAGCAAGCCTGCCTTGGAGTGTGCAATTTACACGTCAGACATGGTCCTACTCCACATCCTCTTCTCCAATCTATGCATCCTTCAGATTCCCTGTGTTCTCGCTCGCCTCCTAACTGACACACGTTCATCGGCTTGCCCGCGTCTTTATAATTGTAACCGCTTAGAGCGGAAAGCGTGCTGGAACCAAAAGGAGTGTCTTTATGGGCTACGCAACAGGTGCGCCACGTCAGTCTTCCACACAAACGGGCGGAACATCTGGCACGCGCCGCGAGCGTGCCAGAACGGGCAAGGAGTGCGCTGAATCTCCCGTGGGTCGTCATGATGACGTGTCAGCTGACAGCTACTCGGAGGATGAGCACAGCCGGACGAGTAGAGCTCCCGGTAGAGGTGGCGGGAGAGCCGGCGGCAGAGGCGCTAGCAGTAGCGGCAACGGTCGGGAGAAGGTAGCAGCAGGCAGTGGAAGGGACGGTGTAGACAGAGCGGACCGCCATGACCGACGGCCAAGCGAGAAGTGCCTGGACGACGATAGTACTGAGTACGAGAGTAAGGACGAGCCTACTGATAGCTGTACTGACGACGACTTTAGCGAGAACGAAGAAGCCAGTGATGCCAGCGACAATGACGGCAGCGATGTTGACGGCAGCGACAATGACGGCAGCAGCAATCGCTCGTCGCCTCGAAGCAGCGACAGAAGCCACACAAGGTGCGACTCGAACGGCAGCTCGCGCCGTCGCTCAGGCTCGCGGTCGCCGCGTTCCCCTGAGTCAACGCGGTCGCCGCGCTCTCCCGAATCTACGCGGTCGCCGCGTTCGCCGGAGTCAAGGCGGTCGTTGAGTTCCCCAGAGTCAACGCAGTCTCCGCGTGACGCAAAATCGTGGAGCGGTTCCGACGACAACGCGTCCAGGACGAGCCGGTCCAGCCGGTCAAGCCGGTCAAATCGGTCAAGCCCGTCGCCGGATTCGTGCAGGAAACAGTCGCGGAACCGGTCGCAGGGTAGGCCGCTGAGGAAGGGGGATGCGAGCAGGAGCGGCGACAGCGCGAGGCAGCAGCAGCGGTATAGTCCCAGACGCGGCGGGTACGAGCGAGAGAGGGAACGGGAAAGGGATCATAGTTCACGTCGTAACGAGGGAGCGAGGGAGCGGCTTAGTCCGCTGAAGCAGCCGGCGACTCAGCAGCAGCCGTCGCACGCAGCTTCCCACCCCGAAAGGCATCACCCGCACCAGCAGCAGCAATATGAGCAGCAGCCGCAGCAGCAGCAGCAATTGCGCGTTCCGCCAAACAGTTACCGTCGATCGCAGTCCGCCGGCCGGTCCGAACTTCGAGAGTACCGAGAACCCAACCGAAACGGGGAGCCTAGTAACGAGTACGCAGATACGTATGTGACCCGCAGCAGGACACGGGCATCCGCTGCGTCAGTGGACTATTCGCAGAGAGCGCCAGCGGGACACTACGCCGCGGAGCACGAGCAGCAGCATCACCACCAGCACCGCCAACAGCGCATCAACGCACCCCCGCCTCCGCAGCATAAGCGCTACGCATCCGCCGCCGCCGTCCCCACGAAGAATCGCTCCGTTAGTCTTTCCGCGGCGTCGTTAGACCACGCAGCCGCCTCGATCGCCGGCGCTTCTGTCGGCGACGAGCCCGCGGAGCTAATGCATGGTAGCAACGCCTCGTACGCCGGTACTGGCGGCGGAAATTGCGGGGCGCGGTTGCCCGCGGGGAACGCTGCGGGTGGGCGGCTGGCTTCCAACCAGGCGCGGTCAATGCGCAAGTGCATCAGCGGGGATCGCGCTACTATGGGGAGCGGTTCGATGGATCTAGACAGGTGCAAGCAGGGAGGGCCGGGGATTGCCCCTCGTGGTGCTGCTGGTGCTGCAGGGGGGTGTAACGCGCCGCGGCCTAGTGGTAATCAGTCTTGTAACCAGCCTGGTAACCAGCAGTGCGCACAGCCAGTGAGGCAGAACGTTCGTCCATCTGTGATTGCACGAAGCATGAGCGTTCCAGACGAAGAGCTGGAGCGAATCCCACAAGGTGGTTACCAGCAGCAACACGGTCCCAGCCATGGGCAGGGGTATATCCACGGGCAGATGAACGGGCAGCCGGAATACGCCTATCGCCAGCCCGGACCAGGGAAACTTCAAATGAAAGCCCTCCGCCGTGCACAGTCTGGACGTCTCAACCCTAGTAACGGATCTGCCAATAACGGATCACCTTCCACCAGCAGCAGCAGCCGAACTGCAATGCCACGGTCCATGTCAGCTAAAGCGCCCTCGCCCACGCCGCCCTACCTTCCGAACGGAATAATTGATCTGTACCCTGTAGAGCCCCTGTCTCCCACCGAAATCCAGACTCCTGTAGGCGCTCCCCCTGCTAGGAGGGACTTTCCCTCCCTGCCCATGCTCGACATTCCCTGGTGCTCTGCTGATAGCCCCCGCTCCCCCCCCAAACCCATAAACGTCGGCCCGCCTCTCCGAAGCTGCAGCTTAGGCCCGGCATCCGGAGCAGCGCAGCAGGTGCGGGCTGGGGGGCGGATTGGGATGAAGGCAGGGCAGGGCATGGGGGCGGGCGGTGGGGATGGTGGTGGGGGGAGGGGAGGGGGAGTGCCTGAGAGGAGTATGAGTGTGGAGAGGCGGGTGAAGGCGCAGGCTGCTAGGAATGCGGTGCGTGTGGTGGAGCTAGGTGGGCCTACAGAGGGGTTGCCTGCACCACATGCTGTGGCGGTAACAGCAGCAGGCGCACTAGCAGGGACAGGTGGGGCAGCAGGGGAGATGGGTGCAGTGGCAGTGGCAGGGGCAGGGGCAGGGGCAGGGGCAGGGCATGGAAAGAAGGGCCACTTGAGAGGATTCTTTGCAAGCTGGGGCGGGCACTAGGCAGGGAGCAGTGTGCAGGCACTTTGTTCAGTGGGCACTGGGCACACAGCACTGTGCGCATGGTACTGTGTGGACAGCATTGGGCGGACTGCATTGGGCGCATACGAGATCTTTCCATTTGATTTGTTGTGGGCAGTGGTACGGTACTAGCATCAGGTCCTTGTGTAGAGGACTCGCATGCATTATGATGGATATGCTACCTTATGTGGAATATAGTGGTTTTATTAAATTAATTTGATTTACTTTTCTAGCATTGCTGGGTATGCAGGTCACATGGGGTTTGTCCATTCAACAGAATAGCTACACCTGGTGGCATGGCATTCCCTCTACTTGCCGACATACACCCTTTGTGCTGCCCTTGCAGGCAGCACAGGGGACTTGGCAGCGCTGCTTTTCCCCACTGCCGCCTTGAGTTTGTTACCACTCTTGGTGCGCTGCAGCCCTGCTCTCGGTGCACCTGCCTCCACCCCTGCTGCTGCCGCTCCTGCTGCCACTGCAGCGACAGTGCTGCTACTTCTGGCAAGTGCTGCTGCAGCGACAGTGCTGTTACTCCTGGCAAGTGCTGCTGCAGCCCCTCCTCTTCCCGCCCCTTCACCACCACCAGCACCACTGGCACCACTCTTCCCGGCCTTCTCCTGTGTGCCCACTGCAGAGGCTGTTCGCATGAGCTTGGAGGTGCTGCGAGCGAGAGAAGCAGAGCGAGTGTACGCAGCAGTGCTGCTGCTGTTGCCGGCAGGAATGGCGGCAGTGCTGCTTGCTCCAGCGTTGTTGGAGTTGGCTCGGGTGGCATTGTTTGGACTGTCCTTCCCTAGCAGCTGCTGCACCTTCTGCTGCCGCTGCTGCCGCTTCCTCTGTTGCTCTGCCTGCAGCAACCTTCCTGTGGTGTAGCCTACCCCACCACCACCTTCCCCTCCCCCACCCTTGCCCCTGCCACCCCCACCCTGACCAATCCCACCCTCACCACTCCCACTGCCACCCCCCTTCTCACCCTTGGGTGTCTTTACCGGGACCCGGGGCAGGGTGGAGGAGAGAAGCTCATTCATGCGGCGAGAGGGCGGGGAGAGGGACGAGGCCAGGCGAGCACGAGAGGGGGACTTGCTCAGTGCAGCCTTGCTCCCTGTCTCTGCACCACCACCAGCACCTGCCAAATTACCGCTCGCCTTCTTGCCAGTGCCACTTGTGGTTTTGGTGCTGCTCGCGTTTCTGCCGCCACCTTTACCCACATTCCTCGGCAGCTCCACCTGCAGACCCCGCATGGCCTGACCCCCACCCCTGCCTGCTGCCGGCACCGCTTGCGTTGCTGCCCCCATGCTCACTGAACGAGCAAAGACCCCGGTGGGTGAATTGCCAGGCACTTGCTTGCCGAGGGCTGCACCGCCCTGCACTGCCCCCGCTGCAATAGCAGCAGCTGAAAAGGGAGAACCAGCAGCAGCAGCAGCAGCAGCAGCAGCAGCAGTGGAATACGGAGAGGTGGCAGTAGCAGCAGCAGCGGGGTAGGGGGAGGCAGCAGGCTGCATGGAGGCTGTGCGGGCTAGACGAGCTGCTGCTGCTGGCCCCGTGCCTCCAGCATGTGTGAACGCACCGGTTGGGGAGTTTCCAGGAAGGTATTGAGTTTGCGTTGCAGCTGCTTTCAGTGCCCCAGCAGCAACAGCAGCCGAGGAGGCGGCAGGCTGCATGGAGGTGGTGCGGGCCAGTCGAGTTGCTGCTGCTGCCCCGGTGATTGCAGCATGTGTGAACGCACCAGTAGGAGAGTTTTTGGGAAAGTAGTGGGCTTGTGGAGGGGTGGCATTCAGTGCCCCAGCAACAGCAGTAGCAGCAGTCGAGGAGGCAGCAGGCTGCATAGAGGTTGTGCGGGCCAGACGAGCTGCTGCTGCCCCGGTGCTTGCAAACGCGCTGGTGGGGGAGTTGCGGGGGAAGTGCTGGGCTTGTGGTGCAGATCCATTCAGTGCCCCAGCGGCAGCAGCCGCAGCAGCAGCAGAGGAAGAGGCAGCAGAGGAGGCAGCAGGCTGCATGGAGAGTGCTCGGGCCAGTCGAGATGTGGGAGACACTGACACTTGTGCTGCCTGCTTCTGCTGCTGCTGGATCTCTGCTTGCTGCTGCCACTGCTGATGTTGCTGGTGCCACTGCTGCTGTTGCAGCTGCTGTTGTTGCTGTTGCTGCTGCTGTTGCTGCTGCCACTGCTGCTGCTGCTGCTGCTGCCACTGCTGCTGCGGTTCGTGCTGCCAGTTGTGCTGCCAAGCATGCTGCCCTATCTGTGCTGTCTCGTGCCCCTCGTGCAACGAAGGCAGGGCGTGTGGAGAGAGGGACGATACTGCCACACCGTGACGGTTCGAATGCCCTTGAAAAGTGCTAGGGCTACTGCTGTTGGTGTGGGGGCTGACATTGGTGTGCGTGTTGAAGTTGCTGGGGGGGCTATTCATGTGTTGCGGGCTGCTAAAAGCATGCGGACTAACGTTGCTGTGCGGACTGGTGTGCATGTGAGGGCTGCTGTGGTCGTGTGGGGTACGGTTGTGCGGGCTGAGACTGCCATGGGAGTGCAAGGCAGCACCGTCATACTGCCTCACTCCCACGCCCTGTGCCGGGTCGTTGAAACCCACTCCCACGCCCTGTGCCGGGTCGTTGAAACCCACTCCCACGCTCTGCACTGGGTCACTGAAACCCACACCCACCGCCTCGCCCTGCTGCCGGCCTGCTCCTCCCAGTGAGCTCCGCCCCACATGCCACGTGTCACTCGCCACATCACCAAGCCCTGCCAAGCCACTCGCCCCGTCTCCATGCATCGCCATGCGCACCCCTGCTGCACCCACCCCTGCAGCATGCGCCTCCTCTCCACCGCTGCTGCCCCGGCTGCCGCTGAGCGTGTGGCTGAATAGCTCCTCCCCGGACTCGCACTCGCTCTCCTGTGTGCGCTGCACATGCACGTAGATGTCACATGCACCACCGCCAGCACCAGCACCAGCAGCACCATTATCAAAGCCAGAACCAGCGCTCATGTCATCACCATCATCAGCACCATGAGCACCATGAGCACCATGAGCGCCCTCACGAGCGCATTCCGCCAGATACCGAGCCACTGCTGCTGCGCCGCCCGGCACGCCCCCCTCGCCGTCCTGCACCTCGCTACTAGCATCCTCGCTAGGTAAGTCGAAGTCGTCACCGCTTACGTCATCAGCGAGGTAGGATGAGTCAGCATCGACCTCCACGTCCAATGAGAGGCGCACCCGCTGCCGGAAGCCCTGCAGGACGGCGTGCGACAGGGCGGCATGTGGCAGGGCGGCATGCGGCGGGGCGGCAGCATGCGGGAGGGTAGGATGGGACAAGCTAGGATGGGACAAGCTAGGATGGGACAAGCTAGGATGGGACAAGCTAGGATGGGGCAGGCCGCCATGGCGCCCCACTCTGTGGCTGCCCTCTGCTGCCGCCGTGCCTTCTCTGCCCGCTGCCGCCTCGTCCAATTCTGCCGTGTCACCGCCGTGTGCTGACGTGGCGTCGTACAGATCCTCAGAGCCAGGGTACTCCTCTGCTGCGCGCTCTCCCACGTGGCACAGCTGCTGATAGAGCGTGCTCAAACAGGGGGTCTCCTCCGCACACGACTCTAGGGAGCGTGGAGGTGAAACCACCAGCGCACTCCCATCCCCTGCACTCCCTGCTTCCCCCCCTCCTTCCTTCTCCTCCTCCCCCTCCTCCTCCTCCTCCTCCTCCTCCTCCTCCTCCTCCTCCTCCCCCGCCTCCCGCTCCCCCTGGCCCCTCTCCCTCTCACTTCCCGCGCCCACCTCCTCCCACACCCTTCCCTCCTCTGCCTCCCACTCGCACTGCTGCATGTGCATGTGCATTTCCCCCTCCCACCCCCCATACGCATCCCCATCTCCGCCCAACCCTCCCCCGTCCTCCCCTCCCTCTTCGCGCTCCTCCTCATCCCCCTCATTTAATCTCCGCTCGTCGCCCGCGTCACCGCCCCAGTCGTCCCCCCACACCTGCTCCTCCCCCTCGCCCGCGTCACTATCGCCGCACTCGCCGTACAAATCCTCCCCCTTACCCTCCTCTTCCCCGCCTACTCCTTCCCCCGCCCCACTCCCCTCGCCTCCGCGCAGGCCCCCCTCTTCCCGCTCCGCCGCGCTCAATCCCCCCTCCCCGTCGCTGCCGCCACCGCCATACATATCCTCGTTAATATCCGCCTCGTCATTCTGCTCCGCGTCCTCCGCATCCTCCGCGCCCTCCTCTTCGTCACCGTACAAATCCCCCTCGCCTTCCGCCACTCCGCCGCTCTCACTACCCTCCTCGCCACCGTAACCGCCGCCTCTCACATTCTCCTCCTCCCCCGTCGAAAATCCCGGCCCGTCTGCTTTCCACTCTCCTGTTCCCACATAATGGGGAGAATCTTCATCCCCGATAAAACACTCCTCGCTATCACCACGCCTACCGTAAAGGTTATCAGTCCTGGCCGATGCATCCACGCCGTACAGGTCTGATTCGCCCTCGACCCGCTCCGCCGAGTTCTCCGCCGCGCTCGGCGGGGAGTCACGGCGAGAGCGCGGAGAGGCGGCAGTGGCGGAAGCCACGACCTTGCGCGCCACCCGCGCTAGCTCTTCCCGCGCGCCACCCCCGCGCGCTACAAGCGTTAGGTCTTCCCCGGCGCCGGCAACACTCCCAACAAGCCAGAAATCCTCCCATACGTTGGCTTCGGAAATAAGGCGCGGGGACATGGGTGACAGCGTATCGCCGCTGACCGCGTGGCAGCTCTGCTTCGGCGCTCCCAGCGACTTGCCTCGCCTCAGCGGCGCGCCGCTCTCCGGACATTCCGCATGGCCGACCCCCTCCGGTGGAAGCTTTTCGTCGAAGCGACCCGAGTCGATCCAGTTTGCCTGGTCGGCGAATTCTCCTACGTCGGAAAATTCGTTAGATTCTGCGAAAAGATTGGGATGTGCGCTGGATCGCAAGTTAGAAACGACTCTTCGCGCAATCTCCGCTCGGGCCTCAGCCGCGTTGCGAATGCCGCTCATTGGATCGCCGAACGTGCCGCTAAGGACCTCCATGTGAGAAGCGACGCTGCTGGAGGAAATCGTAAGTCAAGAGACGAGCTCCAGACACAACCAGCGGGAAGGAAATCCTCCTGAAGAAATGTAAGGTGAGGAACGCCCAACATAGAGAAAACGCCCCTTTCAATTCTCGCAATTTGGTGGTAATCTTTAGGCAAAACAAAGTGTACACAGTACGGTACGGACGGAGTGTCGGGGGCGGGGGATGTAGCCTGTAGGCAGTAGGCGAACGAAGTGTAGGGTTCACCTGGCTCTGAGAAAGGGCGTTCGTGCACTTGACGTGCAATTTGTACGGCAGGGATTGGAGGAAAATGCACTTTGACTGCTTGGTTCGCCGTACGGCGCTGTGATTGGTGGCTGAGGTGAATCCCGTCAGCACTTGAGAAAAGTTGAGAACCGTGAACCTGCACGAGACGACGAATCAACTCCTTTCGCCTATGTTTTCGCGCAGCTGAATGCACGCACTTAGTTTGTCCGGACGTGAAACCCTTGGGCCACTGGCCCACTGCGGAACTGCTGGTGCACCTGAGAGGATTCATTTGACACGCCACGTCACACAAAACGATAATGTAACGACTGTCTCCAGGTGGCCGCCAGCTGTTAATTGCACGACAACAAGTTGGTCCTGAAACCCCTTCATCCTCGCTAAATGCAGCGTAGGATATACTGCTTTTCGAATAGATCCTTCTACACCTTACAATACAATCTCATGCGGTAAGTCCGGTCAGTGCGTGGTTTATTATTTTGGGATCTCAATCTGTACCAGTCTCCAACAATTATAATCATGAAAGCTGTTTTATAAATGATATCCACTTGATTTCAGTGGATTGAATGGATTACGGATGCAGTTGAACATAAACTGAGTACAGGATTCACAGTGAGGTTGTGAGAGAGCAGTCAGGACTAACTTCAGCTTGCAAGCGCTGGTTGTAAAGTCTTCTCCAGTGATGGTGAGCTGATTGAGGTATCGATGGAGCATGGCAACTCGACCGAACTTAATGCAGGGAGACAGGCAATGCCAGAAGGAGCACCGATTACTTGAAGCCTCAAGATGTGATATACGAAAGCAGGAACGCCTCCCATAGGGCCGGAAGGATAGAGACGCAGATGCAGAGGCAGCTGCAGCCGGCTCTTACTTAAGAGATGATCCACCACAGCTGATGCCTCCACCCACCTGCTGCTTAGCTGAGCGGCAGTTGGAGCTGTTGCTGCTGCTTCAGCTGTGCCGGAGTGACAAGATGCACTAGTTGTAGTCACGCCATCTAGAGTAACTTCACCTTCAGTCACACTGCCTAATGTCACATCCTTGCTGCCATCCCTGAGACTCCTCTCGTCGCACAGGAAGAGAACATACTTGCTAGCCTTGCAATAGAACGCCTCTGATTGGTCCAGAGCTGCTGCCACATCAGCGACGCGTTTCTGCCACATGGCGCCCTCCAGCTTCTCGCAGCCAGCCTCAAGCTCCTCCACATACTCCCTGCACAATAAGCACACATTGCATAGAGTCACATGGGAAAGGATAAAACTATGACACGTAAAGTAGAACAGGGTAGTGGTATGGACAGGATGGTGCGCATGAGATGGAGTTGGGACGCGAGGCATGCACCAGGCTTAGCATGGGGCTAGGGGACAGATGGGCGGAGAAGAGCACAAGGGACGCATGTCACAGGGAGGGCAGGACGGGGCGGGGCACAGCATGGCATGGCGTGGCAGGGCAGGGCACGACGGGGCAGGGCAGAGAGGGGAGGATAGGGCAGGGGCGTTGCTCACCGGGCGGCGGTGAGAGTGGGTGCATGGTTGTCTTGATCCTCTATCTTGCCGCCAAAGTCCATCAGATACACCGGCCCCACGCGCCCTCGCTGCTGCGGCTGCTGCTGCTTCTGCTTCTGCTGATCCGGCTTCCGATTCCTCCTCTCTTGTTTCTGCTGCTTCTGCCTCTCCCTCTGCTGCCTCCTGTTTTCCGCCTTCAGCTCACGTGCCTGCTGCTTCCTCCTCCTCCTTTCCTCCCTCGCTTGTTGCTCCTTCACTTGCTGCCCCGTCCCTTGATCCCCCACCCCCTTCTTCCCCACCCCCTTCTTCCCCTTCCCCTGCTCCTCCTTCCTCTGCTGCCCCGCCCCTTGCTCCTCCTTCCTCTGCTGCCCTGCCCCTTGCTCCTCCTTCCTCTGCTTCCCATTCCCTTGTTGCTCACCTTTTTCCGTCCCATCCTCCAGCTCGCTCTCTCGCTCATCACTCTCCTCTCGCCCATTCCCTTGCGTTCCATCCTCAACACCTGTACCCTTCTCTCCTGTTCGTTCACCCTTCTTCCTCCTCTCTCTTCTCCTATTCCTCCTACCTCCTTCCCCTCCTCTCCCACTCTTCTCCGCTCCCCTTCGCCCCGCATCGCCGCACTCATTCCTTCTCCCGCCCTCCACTTCCGCAACCCTCCTTCCGCTCCCCTCATCCTTCCCCTCGCAACCACGTTCCTCCTTTCGCGCGCCGATCATCTCGTCCGCTTCCCCTCCGCGCGGGGCACTGGAACATCCTTGCGCGTCTCCCCCGCCTCCCGCGCACGAGCCTCCCTCCCCGCAACGGGCCTCCACGCACGTCAAGCGATGAGCGCCCTCATCGCCGCTTCTCGCGCCGTCTCCCTCCGCACCGCCATCGCCACCCCCACGAGCGTTAACACGGCTATCGGAACCATCGCTGCCAACGCCGCCAACGGCGCCGTCAGCGCCGCCAGCGGCGTCCTCTGCGCCACCACTGGAACGTTCTTCCTCCACAATTCCCTGCAGCTCGCGCTCCTCACGCTCCCGCTCCTCACGCTCCCGCTCCTCACGCTCCCGCTCCTCACGCTCCGGCTCCTCGCGCTCCGGCTCCTCGCGCTCGTGCTCGACCCGTTCCTCGCTCTCGCCCCGTCTTAACCGCTCCGCTACTGCTCCATCCCCTCCTGCCTCCTTCCCTCGCTGCACGTTCCCCCGCACCCCATTCCGCGCGCGCGCTTTTTTCTTGCTCGCCTCTGCCTGGAACAGAAAGAGCAGCCGACCGTCGCTGTCGAAGCTGTACGGCAGGATGCCCGCAGCGCGGTACTCCCGAGACACTCTCTGCCATGAGTCGGCCATTTCTGCTGATCGAGCGCAGATCAGGACGCAAATTCGCAAGGTTTTGTGTTAGCAGAGCACGCGTTACAGTCATACATCCTAGTTCATCATTGTGACCGCAGGAGAACGGTTTATGGACAGCGTTAATTTTGTACGTTTTACAACAAATAACTAATATTGGCACACAAAATCACCAATAGACGACACAGGAATTTCTTGCAGCCCCTTTCAACAATCCAAATCAAATATTCCACTTCTACTTCCTCAACTCGGGAAACACAGCCGCAGCATCTTTCTTGAGCCATTGCGCGAGCTGTTGACCGTCCACAGACAGCGCTTGCATGGTGAGCGCGCGCATGCTCTTGCCCTTGAGCCCCACCGCCTGCAGCGTCCGATCCACACTCACAAACAGCTTCGGAAACCTGCCCCTCGGCGCCTCTCCTATCGGCTGGTTCTGGATGTGGGAACAGGGATGAGATGAGATGAGAGACATGGCATAGGGAAGAATGATTGATGGTGGCTGTTCACATGGTGTGTAGTGTACCTTAGGAGGGTGAAATGCTGCAGATGTAGAAGTGAAACTTGGATCATTGTGATATACGCTTGATGGTGTGGACATCAGCTCACCTTCGCCCGCGACATTCCTGTAACGATGGCCAAGTCTCGCACTAACGAGTCATCAGCTGAGGCTCCTGCAGTAGCAGCAGCGGCGGCAGGTGCAGGAGCAGCAGTAGCGGAAGCACTATCTTGGGAAGTTGCAGGAGCAGCACCGGCATGAGCAGAGGCAGGAGAGGTGAGGTGCATGAGGAGGGAGATAAGAGCCACGGTGGCCACCGGACGTGTAGAACTGCGCACATCACACCTGTGAGGCCATGCAGGGTGGGAAAATCATGTAGGATACAAGCAGATTGTTTAGTCAAGGCAACCTGTTTCATCGACTCAAAAATACGTGGGACATGATGAGCGAGGGGAACAGGGGCGAGGTGCAGCAGGCCACGGGGGGTGTGGAGCTGCGCACATCACCGTGTACGGGGGAGTGTGTGGAGCAGGGGGGAAATGAAGCGGGCGCAGGGATGACGGAGGGCCGTGGAGCAGGAAGGAGGGGAGCAAGCTTAGGAGGGGGAGGTAAGGGAGGGAGGCGACAGCGGTGCTTGCAGTGGAATATGACGGAATGAGATGTTGTTAAAACGGCGCGGTACAGATGGGTGGGTGAGTATGCAGAGAGCAGAAGGTGCTGACCTGTAGGCATCAGAGAGGGCGTAGTGCGAGAAAGTGCCCGCCTCTGCTGCCTCTCTGTACACCTCCACCGCTGCTAGCAGGGCTGGCAAGGAAAAGGGGGGAAGAGGGAGGGAGTGGCAGACAGGTAAGCGCGAAGAGGAGCAGCTAAGATGAGGTGAGAGAACATGCAGTACGCGAAGGTGCCCGCCTGTGCTGCCTCTCTGTACACGTCCACCGCTGCTGGCAGGGCTGGCAGGAGTAAGGGCGAGGGGGAAGGAGTAAGGGCGAGGGGGAAGGAGTAAGGGCGAGGGGGAAGGAGTAAGGGCGAGGGGGAAGGAGTAAGGGCGAGGGGGAAGGAGTAAGGGCGAGGGGGAAGGAGTAAGGGCGAGGGGGAAGGAGTAAGGGCGAGGGGGAAGGAGTAAGGGCGAGGGGGAAGGAGTAAGGGCGAGGGGGAAGGAGTAAGGGCGAGGGGGAAGGAGTAAGGGCGAGGGGGAAGGAGTAAGGGCGAGGGGGAAGGAGTAAGGGCGAGGGGGAAGGAGTAAGGGCGAGGGGGAAGGAGTAAGGGCGAGGGGGAAGGAGTAAGGGCGAGGGGAAGGAGTAAGGGCGAGGGGGAAGGAGTAAGGCGAGGGGGAAGGAGTAAGGGCGAGGGGGAAGGAGTAAGGGCGAGGGGGAAGGAGTAAGGGCGAGGGGGAAGGAGTAAGGGCGAGGGGGAAGGAGTAAGGGCGAGGGGGAAGGAGTAAGGGCGAGGGGGAAGGAGTAAGGGCGAGGGGGAAGGAGTAAGGGCGAGGGGGAAGGAGTAAGGGCGAGGGGGAAGGAGTAAGGGCGAGGGGGAAGGAGTAAGGGCGAGGGGGAAGGAGTAAGGGCGAGGGGGAAGGAGTAAGGGCGAGGGGGAAGGAGTAAGGGCGAGGGGGAAGGAGTAAGGGCGAGGGGGAAGGAGTAAGGGCGAGGGGGAAGGAGTAAGGGCGAGGGGAAGGAGTAAGGGCGAGGGGGAAGGAGTAAGGGCGAGGGGGAAGGAGTAAGGGCGAGGGGAAGGAGTAAGGGCGAGGGGGAAGGAGTAAGGGCGAGGGGGAAGGAGTAAGGGCGAGGGGGAAGGAGTAAGGGCGAGGGGGAAGGAGTAAGGGCGAGGGGGAAGGAGTAAGGGCGAGGGGGAAGGAGTAAGGGCGAGGGGGAAGGAGTAAGGGCGAGGGGGAAGGAGTAAGGGCGAGGGGGAAGGAGTAAGGGCGAGGGGGAAGGAGTAAGGGCGAGGGGGAAGGAGTAAGGGCGAGGGGGAAGGAGTAAGGGCGAGGGGGAAGGAGTAAGGGCGAGGGGGAAGGAGTAAGGGCGAGGGGGAAGGAGTAAGGGCGAGGGGGAAGGAGTAAGGGCGAGGGGGAAGGAGTAAGGGCGAGGGGGAAGGAGTAAGGGCGAGGGGGAAGGAGTAAGGGCGAGGGGGAAGGAGTAAGGGCGAGGGGGAAGGAGTAAGGGCGAGGGGGAAGGAGTAAGGGCGAGGGGGAAGGAGTAAGGGCGAGGGGGAAGGAGTAAGGGCGAGGGGGAAGGAGTAAGGGCGAGGGGGAAGGAGTAAGGGCGAGGGGGAAGGAGTAAGGGCGAGGGGGAAGGAGTAAGGGCGAGGGGGAAGGAGTAAGGGCGAGGGGGAAGGAGTAAGGGCGAGGGGGAAGGAGTAAGGCGAGGGGGAAGGAGTAAGGGCGAGGGGGAAGGAGTAAGGGCGAGGGGGAAGGAGTAAGGGCGAGGGGGAAGGAGTAAGGGCGAGGGGGAAGGAGTAAGGGCGAGGGGGAAGGAGTAAGGGCGAGGGGGAAGGAGTAAGGGCGAGGGGGAAGGAGTAAGGGCGAGGGGGAAGGAGTAAGGGCGAGGGGGAAGGAGTAAGGGCGAGGGGGAAGGAGTAAGGGCGAGGGGGAAGGAGTAAGGGCGAGGGGGAAGGAGTAAGGGCGAGGGGGAAGGAGTAAGGGCGAGGGGGAAGGAGTAAGGGCGAGGGGGAAGGAGTAAGGGCGAGGGGGAAGGAGTAAGGGCGAGGGGGAAGGAGTAAGGGCGAGGGGGAAGGAGTAAGGGCGAGGGGGAAGGAGTAAGGGCGAGGGGGAAGGAGTAAGGGCGAGGGGGAAGGAGTAAGGGCGAGGGGGAAGGAGTAAGGGCGAGGGGAAGGAGTAAGGGCGAGGGGGAAGGAGTAAGGGCGAGGGGGAAGGAGTAAGGGCGAGGGGGAAGGAGTAAGGGCGAGGGGGAAGGAGTAAGGGCGAGGGGGAAGGAGTAAGGGCGAGGGGGAAGGAGTAAGGGCGAGGGGGAAGGAGTAAGGGCGAGGGGGAAGGAGTAAGGGCGAGGGGGAAGGAGTAAGGGCGAGGGGGAAGGAGTAAGGGCGAGGGGGAAGGAGTAAGGGCGAGGGGGAAGGAGTAAGGGCGAGGGGGAAGGAGTAAGGGCGAGGGGGAAGGAGTAAGGGCGAGGGGGAAGGAGTAAGGGCGAGGGGGAAGGAGTAAGGGCGAGGGGAAGGAGTAAGGGCGAGGGGGAAGGAGTAAGGGCGAGGGGGAAGGAGTAAGGGCGAGGGGGAAGGAGTAAGGGCGAGGGGGAAGGAGTAAGGGCGAGGGGGAAGGAGTAAGGGCGAGGGGGAAGGAGTAAGGGCGAGGGGGAAGGAGTAAGGGCGAGGGGGAAGGAGTAAGGGCGAGGGGGAAGGAGTAAGGGCGAGGGGGAAGGAGTAAGGGCGAGGGGGAAGGAGTAAGGGCGAGGGGGAAGGAGTAAGGGCGAGGGGGAAGGAGTAAGGGCGAGGGGGAAGGAGTAAGGGCGAGGGGGAAGGAGTAAGGGCGAGGGGGAAGGAGTAAGGGCGAGGGGGAAGGAGTAAGGGCGAGGGGGAAGGAGTAAGGGCGAGGGGGAAGGAGTAAGGGCGAGGGGGAAGGAGTAAGGGCGAGGGGGAAGGAGTAAGGGCGAGGGGGAAGGAGTAAGGGCGAGGGGGAAGGAGTAAGGGCGAGGGGGAAGGAGTAAGGGCGAGGGGGAAGGAGTAAGGGCGAGGGGGAAGGAGTAAGGGCGAGGGGGAAGGAGTAAGGGCGAGGGGGAAGGAGTAAGGGCGAGGGGGAAGGAGTAAGGGCGAGGGGGAAGGAGTAAGGGCGAGGGGGAAGGAGTAAGGGCGAGGGGGAAGGAGTAAGGGCGAGGGGGAAGGAGTAAGGGCGAGGGGGAAGGAGTAAGGGCGAGGGGGAAGGAGTAAGGGCGAGGGGGAAGGAGTAAGGGCGAGGGGGAAGGAGTAAGGGCGAGGGGGAAGGAGTAAGGGCGAGGGGGAAGGAGTAAGGGCGAGGGGGAAGGAGTAAGGGCGAGGGGGAAGGAGTAAGGGCGAGGGGGAAGGAGTAAGGGCGAGGGGGAAGGAGTAAGGGCGAGGGGGAAGGAGTAAGGGCGAGGGGGAAGGAGTAAGGGCGAGGGGGAAGGAGTAAGGGCGAGGGGGAAGGAGTAAGGGCGAGGGGGAAGGAGTAAGGGCGAGGGGGAAGGAGTAAGGGCGAGGGGGAAGGAGTAAGGGCGAGGGGGAAGGAGTAAGGGCGAGGGGGAAGGAGTAAGGGCGAGGGGGAAGGAGTAAGGGCGAGGGGGAAGGAGTAAGGGCGAGGGGGAAGGAGTAAGGGCGAGGGGGAAGGAGTAAGGGCGAGGGGGAAGGAGTAAGGGCGAGGGGGAAGGAGTAAGGGCGAGGGGGAAGGAGTAAGGGCGAGGGGGAAGGAGTAAGGGCGAGGGGGAAGGAGTAAGGGCGAGGGGGAAGGAGTAAGGGCGAGGGGGAAGGAGTAAGGGCGAGGGGGAAGGAGTAAGGGCGAGGGGGAAGGAGTAAGGGCGAGGGGGAAGGAGTAAGGGCGAGGGGGAAGGAGTAAGGGCGAGGGGGAAGGAGTAAGGGCGAGGGGGGGGAAGGAGTAAGGGCGAGGGGGAAGGAGTAAGGGCGAGGGGGAAGGAGTAAGGGCGAGGGGGAAGGAGTAAGGGCGAGGGGGAAGGAGTAAGGGCGAGGGGGAAGGAGTAAGGGCGAGGGGGAAGGAGTAAGGGCGAGGGGGAAGGAGTAAGGGCGAGGGGGAAGGAGTAAGGGCGAGGGGGAAGGAGTAAGGGCGAGGGGGAAGGAGTAAGGGCGAGGGGGAAGGAGTAAGGGCGAGGGGGAAGGAGTAAGGGCGAGGGGGAAGGAGTAAGGGCGAGGGGGAAGGAGTAAGGGCGAGGGGGAAGGAGTAAGGGCGAGGGGGAAGGAGTAAGGGCGAGGGGGAAGGAGTAAGGGCGAGGGGGAAGGAGTAAGGGCGAGGGGGAAGGAGTAAGGGCGAGGGGGAAGGAGTAAGGGCGAGGGGGAAGGAGTAAGGGCGAGGGGGAAGGAGTAAGGGCGAGGGGGAAGGAGTAAGGGCGAGGGGGAAGGAGTAAGGGCGAGGGGGAAGGAGTAAGGGCGAGGGGGAAGGAGTAAGGGCGAGGGGGAAGGAGTAAGGGCGAGGGGGAAGGAGTAAGGGCGAGGGGGAAGGAGTAAGGGCGAGGGGGAAGGAGTAAGGGCGAGGGGGAAGGAGTAAGGGCGAGGGGGAAGGAGTAAGGGCGAGGGGGAAGGAGTAAGGGCGAGGGGGAAGGAGTAAGGGCGAGGGGGAAGGAGTAAGGGCGAGGGGGAAGGAGTAAGGGCGAGGGGGAAGGAGTAAGGGCGAGGGGGAAGGAGTAAGGGCGAGGGGGAAGGAGTAAGGGCGAGGGGGAAGGAGTAAGGGCGAGGGGGAAGGAGTAAGGGCGAGGGGGAAGGAGTAAGGGCGAGGGGGAAGGAGTAAGGGCGAGGGGGAAGGAGTAAGGGCGAGGGGGAAGGAGTAAGGGCGAGGGGGAAGGAGTAAGGGCGAGGGGGAAGGAGTAAGGGCGAGGGGGAAGGAGTAAGGGCGAGGGGGAAGGAGTAAGGGCGAGGGGGAAGGAGTAAGGGCGAGGGGGAAGGAGTAAGGGCGAGGGGGAAGGAGTAAGGGCGAGGGGGAAGGAGTAAGGGCGAGGGGAAGGAGTAAGGGCGAGGGGGAAGGAGTAAGGGCGAGGGGGAAGGAGTAAGGGCGAGGGGGAAGGAGTAAGGGCGAGGGGGAAGGAGTAAGGGCGAGGGGGAAGGAGTAAGGGCGAGGGGGAAGGAGTAAGGGCGAGGGGGAAGGAGTAAGGGCGAGGGGGAAGGAGTAAGGGCGAGGGGGAAGGAGTAAGGGCGAGGGGAAGGAGTAAGGGCGAGGGGGAAGGAGTAAGGGCGAGGGGGAAGGAGTAAGGGCGAGGGGGAAGGAGTAAGGGCGAGGGGGAAGGAGTAAGGGCGAGGGGGAAGGAGTAAGGGCGAGGGGGAAGGAGTAAGGGCGAGGGGGAAGGAGTAAGGGCGAGGGGGAAGGAGTAAGGGCGAGGGGGAAGGAGTAAGGGCGAGGGGGAAGGAGTAAGGGCGAGGGGGAAGGAGTAAGGGCGAGGGGGAAGGAGTAAGGGCGAGGGGGAAGGAGTAAGGGCGAGGGGGAAGGAGTAAGGGCGAGGGGGAAGGAGTAAGGGCGAGGGGGAAGGAGTAAGGGCGAGGGGGAAGGAGTAAGGGCGAGGGGGAAGGAGTAAGGGCGAGGGGGAAGGAGTAAGGGCGAGGGGGAAGGAGTAAGGGCGAGGGGGAAGGAGTAAGGGCGAGGGGGAAGGAGTAAGGGCGAGGGGGAAGGAGTAAGGGCGAGGGGGAAGGAGTAAGGGCGAGGGGGAAGGAGTAAGGGCGAGGGGGAAGGAGTAAGGGCGAGGGGGAAGGAGTAAGGGCGAGGGGGAAGGAGTAAGGGCGAGGGGGAAGGAGTAAGGGCGAGGGGGAAGGAGTAAGGGCGAGGGGGAAGGAGTAAGGGCGAGGGGGAAGGAGTAAGGGCGAGGGGGAAGGAGTAAGGGCGAGGGGGAAGGAGTAAGGGCGAGGGGGAAGGAGTAAGGGCGAGGGGGAAGGAGTAAGGGCGAGGGGGAAGGAGTAAGGGCGAGGGGGAAGGAGTAAGGGCGAGGGGGAAGGAGTAAGGGCGAGGGGGAAGGAGTAAGGGCGAGGGGGAAGGAGTAAGGGCGAGGGGGAAGGAGTAAGGGCGAGGGGGAAGGAGTAAGGGCGAGGGGGAAGGAGTAAGGGCGAGGGGGAAGGAGTAAGGGCGAGGGGGAAGGAGTAAGGGCGAGGGGGAAGGAGGAGACCGAGTGGGGGAGTGGCAGACAAGGCGAGAGAAGCTTAGGTGAGGCGAGAGAAGCTTAGGTGAGGCGAGAGATGCTTAGGTGAGGCGAGAAAAGCTTAGGTGAGGCGAGAAAAGCTTAGGTGAGGCGAGAGAACATGGGAGGGAGGGACTGGATGGGGCCGGTTGAACGGAATAGTGTAAGCTTGACAATGAGAAGGAGAAGGGGAAAGGAAGCGAGGTTGTAAGCATGGAAACTCAGAACTCACCCGGCGTGAGGGAGAGCCTGCACCCCTTCTCCACGAGGCCCTTGATCGTTGCATCTGCCCCCTCGGGACCAAAGCACGCGTCGAAAAGCACCGTGTACGCCGGGAGGGTTGGTGCCAGGGGGTTCTGGTTGGGGCAGGGGTAGGGGTAGGGGTAGGGGTAGGGGTAGGGGTAGGGGTAGGGGTAGGGGTAGGGGTAGGGGTAGGGGTAGGGGTAGGGGTAGGGGTAGGGGTAGGGGTAGGGGTAGGGGTAGGGGTAGGGGTAGGGGTAGGGGTAGGGGTAGGGGTAGGGGTAGGGGTAGGGGTAGGGGTAGGGGTAGGGGTAGGGGTAGGGGTAGGGGTAGGGGTAGGGGTAGGGGTAGGGGTAGGGGTAGGGGTAGGGGTAGGGGTAGGGGTAGGGGTAGGGGTAGGGGTAGGGGTAGGGGTAGGGGTAGGGGTAGGGGTAGGGGTAGGGGTAGGGGTAGGGGTAGGGGTAGGGGTAGGGGTAGGGGTAGGGGTAGGGGTAGGGGTAGGGGTAGGGGTAGGGGTAGGGGTAGGGTAGGGGTAGGGGTAGGGGTAGGGGTAGGGGTAGGGGTAGGGGTAGGGGTAGGGGTAGGGGTAGGGGTAGGGGTAGGGGTAGGGTGAGACGGGCGAGGTGACAGGCATGTGGGAGGGTTGCGACAATGAGGCACGGACCCATCTGTTCTGCCCCCTCGGGCCCAAAACACGCATCAAACAGCACTGTGTACGCCGGGAGGGTTGGTGCCAGGGGGTTCTGGTTGTGACGGGGGTAAGACGAGCGAGGCCACGGGTAGGGGGGGAGGGGGAGGGAATGAGGGGCGGATCCAATTGGTGACGCCCAGCCATGCAAGGACCAACCGGCAAGAGAGGTGGCGAGGAGAGGGGTTGGAGGACAGGGGGACTGAGGGGAGGAGACAGGGTAGAAACAATGCGTGGGCATTATGCTGGTCTTTCAAAACAGCTTGATTAGCTGGAGAAAAATATCCCATGCTTCAGATACCCTCACCTTTCCCAGCAAGGCCATACAAGCTCTCCATGCTCACCTCTCTGGGGCCACCAATAACCGTGGTGCCGCTCCCCTTCTGCTCCCACTCCGCTGCCCGGCCCTGCATTTCCCGGAACGTGCTGAGCGCCGCCGGCCACAAGCCAGCGCGGCCCTGCACGGCCATGAGCGCGTGGAAGACGGCGGCGTTGGGCGGCACGCCCTCGGCCTCTAGCTCCTGCCTCACCGCCATGGCGCGCGCTGCGTCCCCGTCCTTGCCACATGCTGTGATGAGCGTCCCCAGGGTTACCACGTCTGGCCTGTGGCCCTCTGCCCGCATCTGGCTGTATAGCTGTGAGGGAGCGCAGGGAGAAATGGAAAAGGGGTAGGGGGAGAGGGGTAGGACTAAGGGTGTAAACAAATACCACTGTATTCGTATTAGTATTCGATATTCGACAAACATCAAATACAAATGCCCCTTACTATTCGAAAGTATTCGACGTTCAAGTATTCGAGTATTCGGTTTAGATAACCGGTTATTCGAATACATATTCGATTCGTTCTTAAGTTACTGAACCACTCAAACCAGTCGCTATTATTCACGAAATCTTGAGTAAACAATACGAAGGACTCTACAGAACGGCCGTCAGAGCCATGCTAACTGAGCAAGGGGCCAATGAGTTAGAGTAAAAGGGTGTGAATGATACTTCAGTATGCATTTAAGCCCCACCGTGAATCATGAGATCCTTGTTTGAGCTACAATATGCTATTCGAAACCGTATTCGACACACCATGTATTCGAATCGTATTCGAATTCGTGGAGGGACAGGTATTCGAACAAATACAAATACAGCCAGGTATTCGACAACTATTCGTTTTAGATAACCGTGTTCGAATCCGTATTCGTTTTTACACCCTTAGGTAGGACGGGTAGGAGGATGGGTGAGAGGGTGAGGAATGGGAGTTGAGGGCATAAAGTGGAGGTCGTACCTGGAAGCAAGGCGTACAGGGGAGGGCGTACCTGGAAGCAAGGCGTACAGGGGAGGGCGTACCTGGAAGCAAGGTGTACAGGGGAGGGCGTACCTGAGTGCGAGGCATACCTAGAAGGCACGCAATAGGGGAGGGCCTACCTGGAAGGCGGTTTCGGTGGAGGCGGAAGGGGCGGCAGCAGCGGAGTGGATGAGCTTGTTGAAGGTGGACGTGGTGATGGCCCTCGTATACCCCCTCTCCCGCATCATGCCGAATGCTCTCAGGGCCCCCTCGTGGTCACCCGCCTGAATAGACACACCACAGACAGACAGAGAGGCACACATCGCAGAGGCAGCTTGTTGAAGGTGGACGTGGTGATGGCTCGCGTGTACCCCATCTCCCTCATCATGCCGAATGCCTTCAGTGCCCCCTCGTGGTCGCCCGCCTGAACAGACACACCACAGACAGACAGAGAGGCACACAGACAGGGACAGACACAGATCGCACAGAGAGACAGAGACAGAGGCAGGGAGAGATGAGCGGAGTGGATGAGCTTGTTGAAGGTAGGGGTGGTGATGGTTCTCGTGTACCCCCTCTCCCTCATCATGTCGTGTACCCCCTCTCCCTCATCATGTCGTGTACCCCCTCTCCCTCGTCATGTCATGGTCGCCCGCCTGCCGTGGCACATCGGAGACACACGCAGCGATACACACAGAGACACACACAGGTGGACAGGGAGTGGGATCACAGCACCAAAACAGCGATCCTCAAGACTCTAAACCCTAAACTGAAAACCTTAATTCCGAGACATTCAACCTGGATCTCAAAGCTGTTGCCCACCTTGGTGCAGGCGGTGATGAGGAGGTTGAACGTTTCTGCGTTGGGACGAACGTTCTCAGCAGCTTCCATCTCGGAGAACAGGCTCCAGGCCTTCACCGCCTGCAGGAGCACAGGGACGGTGCAGAGGCAAGGGGTTCGGGTGCAGGGGGGGTTAGCACCGGTGCAGGGAGGTTATCAGATCAGAGGTGTGGGCGGTTGGGTGGTTTGACTCGCATTAAGCATGGGCGTGGTGGAGCAAGCACGAACAAGAAAGATGCAGGTGGAGGTGGTGGGGGGAAATGCTGTTCGAGGCATCAGGTTGGAGATCAGGTTTGACGTCAGGTTGGAGATCAGGTGTGAGGTCAGGTTCGACGTCAGGTTTGACGTCAGGTTGGAGATCAAGTTTGACGTCAGGTTGAAGATCAGGTTTGACGTCAGGTTGAAGATCAGGTTTGACGTCAGGTTGGAGATCAGGTTTGACGTCAGGTTGAAGATCAGGTTTGACGTCAGGTTGGAGATCAGGTTTGACGTCAGGTTGGAGATCAGGTTTGACGTCAGGTTGGGGATCAGGTTTGACGTCAGGTTGGAGATCAGGTTTGACGTCAGGTTGGGGATCAGGTTTGACGTCAGGTTGGAGATCAGGTGTGTGAGGTCAGGTTCGACGTCAGGCTTGAGGTCAGGTTTGAGGCAGGGCAGGTGTGGGAGCGGTGGCGCAGTCGTCAGTGAGACAGTTGAATGGGGAGGTGGTTGGGGGGGGAGCGTTATGGGGTGGGGAAAGGTTACTCAAGGAGCAATAACAGAGCGCAGAGGGGTGGGGAACGGTGTGTGAGCACTCACGTCAGGGCGGGGAGCGGTGGCGCAGGCATCAATGAGGTAGTTGAAAGTGGAGGTGGTGGGGGGGATGCCTGCCGCCCGCATCTCGTTGAACACCTGCGCACAGAGGGGTCAGGGCAGAAAGCAGCCGATGAGTATGGGGAGCGGTTGAGTAGAGCTTCCAGCATTTCCATCCACCCTTTACTCCCTTCTTCAGTTCTCCATCCCAGCCTCTCAACGCAACCTGAATGAATTCCCATCCATACCTCCCCACGCCCCTCTGCAATGCTTCTTCTTTGGAGATGCTCTTCTTCCTCCTTCCCTCCATCCCGCCCTGCCTACCACCTTCTAGGATGCACACACACACACACACACACACACACACACACACACACACACACACACACACACACACACACACCTGCAGGGCAGCAGTGAGCCGCCCGCCACTGCCCACGGCCTCGAGCAGAATCCCGAACGTGATCTGGTTGGGCGGCACGCCGTCCGCCACCATCATGCCGTACACCTCCAGCACCTTCCCAGGAAGCTTCGCCTGGGCGGCGGCGAACATGAGCGTGTTGAATGTGATGGCGTCCGGCTGCACTGCCCGCTCGGGGGAGCGCATCTCCCTGTACAAGTCCATGGCCCGCTCGAACCTGCAAGGTATGACAGTGGGGATTGAAGAACGCGCGCATGGGGATGGACAGGAGGTGAGCGAACATGACCATGTTGAATGTGATGGCGTCTGGCTGCGCTGCCCGTTCTGGGGATCTCATTTCCTGGTACCGCTCCATTGCTTGCTCAAATCTGCGAGGCATGGCAGTGAGAATAAAGGACGTGAGCATGGGAATTGAAGGGAGCAAGTTGTGCTGGGGAGGCATGAGTGAGCTGCGATGGTGGCGGTGGTGCCTGACTGTGATGGCGTCTGGCTGCACTGCATGATTGTGGTGCAAGTCCATGGCTCACTCACATATGCCCGCTCATCTTAGCAAACAGCTCACATCTCGCATGCAGGCGCTACACGACACGTGCACTTACTGCAGCACTGCGCTGTGGTGAGCGGGAGAGGCTAACAAGTGCCGGGGCTCAGCGGAGGTAGGAGCGGGAGGGGCGCACTCACCGCTGGGAGGGAGAGGAGCGGCCGCGGTAGGGGCCGGTCTTGACCACGAGCGCCATGAGGGATGTGTATGTCACCACGTCGGGCTTTAAGCCCTGTGCCTCCATGTCCGCCTGCATGGGGGCAGGTGGATGTGAAAGGAGAGGGGGGCGTTGAAGGTGAGAGGCGAGGAGGGCGAGCAGGTGTGGGTGGGAAGTGAGAGTGGCCATAGGGGATGTGTACGTGACCACGCCGGGCTTTAAGCCATGTGCCTCCATGTCCGCCTGACGCATGGGGACAGGTGCAGGGACAGATGGGCAGAGGGATGGGGAAGGAAGAGTGGAGGGGGAGAGGAGAGGAGAGGAGAGGAGGGAGAGCAGAGTGGGTGCGAGAGCAGTGGACAGCGTCCGGGGCAGGTCTGAGCAGTAGGTGCAGTGTGGCGTGGCGTGCCACCCGAGATGCTGCTCGCCACCCACTCAAATCGTCTCCGCTCAGAGGCGCTATCACAGCTCAAAGTGTGCCGCACTGCCAGAATTCAGAGCACTTCAACATTTGCAACCCTGCACAGCCTGCTGCATGCACCCGCACCTTGAGGCGAAAAGCATCCTCGAATCTTTGCGGGTGGTGGCAGCAGGAGATGAGCGCGTTGAGGGTGAGCATGCCTAGTGGCCTACACTGACCCCATGCTGCACACACCCTCACCACGTGCCACACCCACCCACACGTACACACCCACCTTGAGGCGAAAAGCATCTTCGAATCGCTGAGCCTGGTGGCAGCAGGAGATGAGGGCGTTGAAGGTGAGCATGCCCGGCGCCATGCCCGCCTGCTTCATTGCCGCATACACCACCAGCGCCCTCTCGCCCTGCCGCTGCCTCCTGCACACCGTTATCAGCGCCTGGTACGTGCCTGGTGAGGGGGATTGGGGGGTGGTGGGGAGGTGGGAGGAGTAAGGGGTGTGGCGAAGGAAAGAAAGGCGTAAGGTATGTGGGAAGGGGAAAGGGAATTCGCTAAGACAGTGGGCTAGAGGAGGTGCGCTAGTCTTGTCCGTGCAGGGTGTGTGTGTGCGTCTTAAGCCTCTCATCTGATCAATGTGACATTCGTGGGCAGTCTTCATTCATCACAGAAACGCGGCCACAAGGACGATACCGGGCCTTCTCAGCTCTAGCTGTCCCAATCCATGCACAGCCCCTGCAGGTGGCAGTGGGAGGTGTGCCACGTGGCGTACCCTCATTGGCGGCGTTGAGGCCCTTGGCCTTCATCTCCTCCACCACGCCCAGCGCCTCCTTGACGGACGAGCACCGCGCTATGGCGCGATTCACCCGCGCCAACGTGCGCTGCTCAAGTGGGGGGAGGGGGGAGGGAGAGGGGGGGGAGTGAAGGTAAGGCTATGAAGGGGAGGAGAGAGGCGAAGAGCGAGTGTGCGGATGGGGAGTGGCGTGGGAATGTTTGTGCGATGACTCGCACTACTCAGTGTGAAGGCTGCATGGCAGCACACACAGCCCAGCCCAGGACGGTAAGCTTCACCCGACCTCACCCCACCATGCAGCACCCCACCACGCATCACCGCATCCCACCACGGCACATGGCTTACCTCGGAATCGAGCATGACGCCTCGTCCGCCAGCCACACGCCAGCAATGCGTGCTCGCACCCACGGCGACTGCATGCTGCACCCCACCACCCAGCACCCCATACCACCCAGTACCCCACCGCACAGCACCGCATCCCACCCCAGCACCACATGAGTGGGCTCACCTCGGAGTCGAGCATGACGCCCTCGTCCGCCAGCCACGCCAGCTTGTTCGTCCGCACGCCCGCCGTCTCCTGCCCGTGCGGAGGGGATGAGGGGATGTGGGGAAGGGAATTTGAGTGCCATTTGAGGAGGCGAGGTGAGGAAATCAGGAGTGAATAGTTACATTCTTGTTACCAGCTTCATCCTGTGGGTTATGTATGTACTTTTTGTTCCATGTATTCATTCAGCCACTCGCCCCTCCACCCATCAGTCACAGCCGCACCTACCACCCCTGGGGGCACACACCCCACCCACCACCGCTGGACCACTGCCTTACCTCGCCTTCCGGCTCCCCCCCATCGCCCCCTTTCCGCCGCTGCACTCTCTGCCGCCCGCCCGACTTCCCCCGCCCCTTGCGGACTTGCGCCTGCGTCCCCTCCGCCGCTTGCGCCTCCCCCTCCGCCTCCACCACCGCAGCTGACGTCAGTACGGCTGACATTGACGCAGCAATGCCGCTGATTGGTAACAAAATAAAGAAGAAAATTGGAATACAAAGGTTTGAAGGGCTGAGCGCAGTGAACGAGGCTTGCCGGGCGGCGGAGAGTTCAGGGGGACGAAGAAATAGCGGAGCGAGCGGAATGCGGACGACAGGGATAATCGTTACGCGCAAGGGGGAGGTCGGAGGGGGAGAGTGAGAGAGGTGGAAGGGCAGCGAGGAGAGCAGCAGCAGGACGGCAAAATGACGAGAGCGGAGAGGCACTGCGCGGTAGAGGGCGGTTCAGATCGGCGGTCTGCTACGACATGGTTACTGGAACCATCTCAGCATCACCCCGCATCTCACCTTGCATGGGCGGTCAGAGCGCGCCGAGCAATGCGCGCTCCCTGAGGAAGCAGGAGATGCTGGTGGGAGGAGGGAGGCAGGGAAGGGGCAGAGTTAGGGTAGGGATAGCGACACGTGGTGAGCTGAGGGCCTAGGAAGTGCGGGAAGCGGGAAGCGAGGAAAAATTTCACCGTGTAGGGCGCTGGACTCTGGTTGGTCGCGCGTGTCTACCTGAACGCTCTGTTTCGACGCGAGGTTGCACGAGCCGCTTGTCATTAAGGCGCGGCTCGAAGCGCCGGGCGGCAGAGTGGAGAGCGCCGTCGTCGCCATGATCGCGGACGACTATTAGAACGCGTTGAGATGACCGTAACACGCGCCTGACGCGTCCAGCTTCCAAATCAAGTCTACTACAGTTGGTAGCAGCACGCTGGATCCGCGAAGCGAAATGCGCGGTGGGGAGGCACACGTAGCAACGGATGTGCGTAGGCGCGATGGCGACGGCAGCAACGGCAGGATCGACAGCCGAGGAAATTTAGATGTGAGAGACAATAATCTGTGCTGATCGCTGGGATGCTATTATGTAACTGAATTAGGTAAAAATGGACTCAGCGGATGTTATGTGTGGACTGGGGAAAAACTGGAGTGAGAGTCAAACAACAGTCACCGCACGGAAAAGTATATCCATACCTCGGCACCGTAGTTTCCCGAACCGCAAGCCTGTCGACATGGATTGAATGGCGGCAGCTTCGTTAGAGGCCGACTGCCACGCCTGAGGGAACCTGTGGAATCCACGTCACTTGCTCGGAGCCTCAGCTTCATTGAAGATCTCTTCGCCACTCCTGGACAGGCGACGTCAGAGACTGGGAACGCCACGTGGTGATGGTCTGCGTGGCAATGGAAAGCCAATTTGGCGACATTTGTGTGAGGCCGATGTGCTGCCACGAAACGGAATCCTCGCCAAGCGACCCTGGCAGCGGATGTCCCGTGCGAGGAAGTGGAAAGTGCGAAAGTGGAAGAACCTCGCGATTGCAGTGCGAACTCGTTACAGCTATAGCAATCGCACGTAAATTTTTGTGCGCAGTAGCTTTCTGAGCAACAAAGCGCCATAACCATCCGATTATTTCTTGCTGAAGTCCCATGCCCGTCCCGTCGTGTCCAGTCCCTTAGTCCCCTCCATCACCCCAGAAGCACCTCGCCGGACTCGCTTTGACGCGTCCCGACCAGCCATGGAGGTGCGAGTAGTGCAGTCAGCGGCCACCACCGCCAAGCCCGCCGAATCTATCTCCGAAGGCGCGTCCGATGCGCGACCGACATGCACGCAGCTCGCGGCGATCACGCCGCCCGAAGCGGCGGCCCTCGTGCCCGAGGAGGACTTTTCGGACATTGAAGAGACGCGCGTAGGTTCCTCGCACCTTCGCGCACGCTGTTGCCAAGCCTACCCTTCTCCTCTCCCGTCCCCGTCGCTCATCCGTTCTCACCCAATCTCCGCTCTTCGCTGCTCATCCCCGTCGCTCATCCGTTCTCACCCAATCTCCGCTCTTCGCTGCTCATCCCCGTCGCTCATCCTTTCTCACCCAATCTCCGCTCTTCGCTGCTCATCCCCGTCGCTCATCCTTTCTCACCCAATCTCCGCTCTTCGCTGCTCATCCCCGTCGCTCATCCGTTCTCACCCAATCTCCGCTCTTCGCTGCTCATCCCTGTCGCCCCCACTCCTCGTTGCGCTGTCCCTCCGTCTCCGCTTTCCGCTGCGGCATGCTCCCCTTTCCGCATACCTCCCGCTCCCCTTTCCGCATACCTCCCGCTCACGACTCAGCCAGCACGCACGCGTCTCCGCTTCTCTGCGCCTGCCTTCCCTTTCCTCGCCCTCCCCCCGCGCCGTTCCCTTTCCCCGCGCCTACATATCCGCCCCCTCTTTCCGCGGGTCCTCACCTTCCATCTCTGACCTTTCCATGGTGCCACGTTGATTCATTCATTCAACGCAGTTCTGGGAGGACGAGGGCGAGGACGTGGAGGGTCGCATCGTCGTGCGAATCGTCGGCAAATACCTCCCAGGTGACAAGCACTTGCTGCTCCTCGCCCTCCTGTGCGCACATCTCCCCACTACCTTCTCCGCTCCCTTCCCCTCTCAAGCCCTCTAATCCCCTCTTTCTCCTCTATCTCCCGGGCTCCTCTATCTCCCGTGCTCCTCTATCTCCCGGGCTCCTCTATCTCCCGGGCTCCTCTATCTCCCGGGCTCCTCTATCTCCCGGGCTCCTCTATCTCCCGGGCTCCTCTATCTCCCGTGCTCCTCTATCTCCCATGCTCCTCTATCTCCCGGGCTCCTCTATCTCCCGTGCTCCTCTATCTCCCGGGCTCCTCTATCTCCCGGGCTCCTCTATCTCCCGGGCTCCTCTATCTCCCGTGCTCCTCTATCTCCCGGGCTCCTCTATCTCCCGTGCTCCTCTATCTCCCGGGCTCCTCTATCTCCCGTGCTCCTCTATCTCCCGGGCTCCTCTATCTCCCGGGCTCCTCTATCTCCCGGGCTCCTCTATCTCCCGGGCTCCTCTATCTCCCGGGCTCCTCTATCTCCCGTGCTCCTCTATCTCCCGTGCTCCTCTATCTCCCATGCTCCTCTATCTCCCGGGCTCCTCTATCTCCCGTGCTCCTCTATCTCCCGTGCTCCTCTATCCCCTCCCCATCTTTCCATCCCCTCATCGTCCCATCGTCCTATATACACCCCACGGCCGCCCCCCCTTCTCCACCAACAGCCCACGTCTTCCCCACAGACCACGTGGAGCGGTACATTCATTACAAGCTACACGAGCTCTTCTCATTGGCCGGCCCCGACCGCCACGTTAGCATCCTGTACATCCACACGGAGTGCGAATCCCTCAACGACAACCCGCTCCTCGCCTTCCGAGACATCTTCCAAGGCCTCCCTCCGAGCCTGCAGCAGAGGGTCGGGGCGGTGTACATCCTACACCCGAGCCTGACTCTCAGGCTCGGGCTCTGGTTGATTTCCCCATGGCTGAGCGACAGGTGAGGGGGGAGGGGTTTGCAGGGGGGGCTTGAGCGACAAGTAAGACGAGGAGAGGGGGGAAGGGGGGGAAAGGGGGGAAGGGGGGGAAGGGGAGTCTCTGAGTCACCACACCATTGCCTGTATAGAGGTGTGGTTTGCCATTCCTATTGCCGGCGCACACACACACACTCACAAACGCACACTCACACACACAAAATCACACACACACACACACACACATACACATACACATACACCGTTTGAGATCAATTTCATTCTCCGACCACCCTCCCCACTTGCCCCCTCTGGTGTGTGTGAGCCGGGTGGAGTTTCTATGGGAGCACATACAGTAAGGCAGGAGCAGGTGTTCCTGCCTCAGTTCTGCCTCCCAGCATGCCCTCTCAAGCTGCACCCACATCTCCATCCCTCCTTCCCCCCCTCCTTCCCACCACCCCCAGCCTGTATTCCCGCATGGTTTGTGTGAGCCGGGTGGAGTTCCTATGGGAGCACATACGGGAAGACCAGGTAGACCTGCCTGATTTTTGCCTGGCGCATGATGGAAAGCTGGAGGCGCACCCGCTGCTGGACTACGGCTTCCAGCTCGATAGAGTAGCAGCCGGGCAGCACCTGCCCGTGGGGCTGTAGCTCAAAAGCAAGGGGGTGGGTAGGGCATACGGGGTGACAGGGGCTATGGCAAAGCAGTGTGGTGAGGAGAGGAGCTTGTGCCTGGAGCGCGATTGCAAGCTGCAGGGCCCCCCTTGCTTGACCACGGCTTCCAGCAAGATAGAGCAGCAGCCGGCCAGCACCTGCCCATGGGGCTGTAGTAGGTCAAATGCAGCTAGGAGGGTGCTAGGGCATATGGTATGGGTTGAGGTGATTAAGGCAAATGAGTGTGGTGAGGAGAGGTGAGAGGTGAGAGGTGAGAGGTGAGAGGTGAGAGGTGAGAGGTGAGAGGTGAGAGGTGAGAGGTGAGAGGTGAGAGGTGAGAGGTGAGAGGTGAGAGGTGAGAGGTGAGAGGTGAGAGGTGCTCCTGCCTGGCGCATGATGGAAAGCTGCAGGTGCACCCGCTGCTTGACTACAGCCTCCAGTGGGGCTGTAGTAGCAGCTTGAGTCCATGCAGAGGTCTGTGGGTTGTGGACTGGGAGCATACGCGCCATGTACAGAATCTGACTTGCCCAAGAAATAAATCTGTATGGATAGCTGTGTCCATCTTGGGTATTGAGACAGCTGTACGTACATATGGTTTATAGCTGCAAGGCAGGTCAATATAATTAAGCTGGGAAGGTAAATGCCGAAAAAACACGTTGCCTTGCCATACCAGTGAGTGCAAAGAAACGGCTTCACAGCCGACTAGATCAGTCTTAAGCCAGCAACACGTAAGTGGCGTGAGATGAGAAGCTGCAGGAAGGCATATATCAACCCCAGCACCCCCACCACCCGCACCACTGGCGTATCCCCTGGCAGTACCACCGCTGGTACACACATTGGCGCAAGCAGCAGCAGTAGATACTCACTCCTCCACACATTGTCCCACATGAATAGGTTGAAGAGCACGTGCATGGGCACACACAGCAGCACCATGCCCACTGTCCACGCCAGCTGCGTTACATTGTAACCCAGCGTTACCCAGCTCCACCCCCAGTAATGCACGGCCGTGGCTGCTTCAGCTGTAACAGTTACCAGCACGGAGAGAACGAGGTAGGCGGAGCAGGCGAGGGTAAGGGGGAAGTAGCGGCGGCGGTGGGAGAAGGCGGAGGGGAAGGAGAGGTGGGGGTTGAGGAGGAGGAGGATGGGTGCGATGAGGAAGATTGCCCGTTGGTCGCTGTCGTGCTGCGCCAGGGTGGTGAGGAGAGAGAGTGCGAGCAGGAAGGAGGCGAGTGTGGCTGCGTTGCCCAATAGGGGCATCCATGAGGCGCGCGTGGTGAAGGTCGCTAGTAGACCCATGTGCCGCTGCTGGTTTGGGGTGGTGGGGGAAAAAGGGGGGAAGATGGAGAGGATGAGGACAAGAATGGTGATCCAGGGCATCCATGACGAGCGCGCCATGAAGGTCGCTACCACACCCATGTGCCGCTGCTGGGGGGAGGTGGGGTGACTAGAAGAGGATGGAGAGGATGCAGTAGCGGACGGGGAAAGTGGCTGCATGAGACGGGGAAGGTTACGGGCAAAGACAGCAAGAGGACGACAAGGAAGGGAAGGGCCGTAAGGTGAAAGCTGTTAGCAGGTTCGTCTCCCTCCCAGTGCTGAGGAAGAGGGGCAAGAGATTCGGAATGGGAGTGAGGGGAGGGAGATTAAGGTGCAAGTTAGGGAGGGAGCGGTGTGAGAGATGGCGTGAGGCTAAGGATTCCAGGTTGCATGTTTGAAGGAGGGAGAGGGAGAGGATGCAGAAGAGGCAGGCAGTGCGTTGGGCCCAATTACCTGGAAGGATCGATGCTTGGGGGCGAAGGGCGAGGTCTGGGGCAGCGCAGAGGCGCCATTAGCAGCAGATGGAAGGTCAGTAGGGTCAGAAGAGGAGGAGGAGAGGGAGGAGGCGGAGGAGGAGGGGCGGGGCGAGGAGAGGTTGAGGTTGATGAGGAGAGCAGCGAGCAGGAAGTAGACACAGTAGATGCCCATTAGTGCTGTGTGCGCTGCCTGAGTGGGGGGTTAAGTAGGCGATGGGGAGGAAGGAGAGTGATGGGGAGGGAAGAGGGAGTGGAGTTTGATGGGGAGGAAGGAGAGTGATGGGGAATACGAGGGTGATGGGGAATACGAGGGTGATGGGGAATACGAGGGTGATGGGGAATACGAGGGTGATGGGGAAGGGGAAGCGACGGGCAGCAGTGAGGTGCGGCACATGCACTGACCTAGTCTACAGTCCTCCCACACGCTCACCCTCACATGCACTGACCTAGTCTACAGTCCTCCCACACGCTCACCCTCACATGCACTGACCTAGTCTACAGTCCTCCCACACGCTCACCCTCACATGCCATCTTGCTCATTGCCCCTATGCACAATCACACCCTGTGCACGGCACGCTGCGCTTCTCACTCAGCCACCCCAAACGACCGTCCAAACCATCCAAATCGCCCATCTCACCTGTGCACAGCACAGCCCCACCATCACACCCACATGCCCACCATCACACCCACATGCCCACCATCACACCCACATGCCCACCATCACACCCACATGCCCACCCACCATCACACCCACATGCCCACCATCACACCCACATGCCCACCATCACACCCACATGCCCACCCACCATCACACCCACATGCCCACCATCACACCCACATGCCCACCATCACATCCACATGCCCACCATCACACCCACATGCCCACCATCACACCCACATGCCCACCCACCATCACACCCACATGCCCACCATCACACCCACATGCCCACCATCACACCCACATGCCCACCCACCATCACACCCACATGCCCACCATCACACCCACATGCCCACCATCACACCCACATGCCCACCATCACACCCACATGCCCACCATCACACCCACATGCCCACCCACCATCACACCCACATGCCCACCATCACACCCACATGCCCACCATCACACCCACATGCCCACCATCACACCCACATGCCCACCATCACACCCACATGCCCACCATCACACCCACATGCCCACATGCCCACATGCCCACATGCCCACATGCCCACCATCACACCCACATGCCCACATGCCCACATGCCCACATGCCCACATGCCCACATGCCCACCATCACACCCACATGCCCACATGCCCACATGCCCACATGCCCACATGCCCACATGCCCACATGCCCACATGCCCACATGCCCACATGCCCACCATCACACCCACATGCCCACATGCCCACATGCCCACATGCCCACATGCCCACATGCCCACCATCACACCCACATGCCCACATGCCCACATGCCCACATGCCCACATGCCCACATGCCCACATGCCCACATGCCCACATGCCCACATGCCCACATGCCCACCATCACACCCACATGCCCACATGCCCACATGCCCACATGCCCACCCACGCAGTCCCTCACGAACCCCTCACCTGTCGCCGTGTGTCATCATACAAGTCATACTTTTGAGAATTCTCAAAACTCACCTGTCGCTGCGTGTCATCATACAAGTCATACTTTTGAGAATTCTCAAAACTCACCTGTCGCCGCGTGTCATCATACAAGTCATACTTTTGAGAATTCTCAAAACTCACCTGTCGCCGCGTGTCATCATACAAGTCATACTTTTGAGAATTCTCAAAACTCACCTGTCGCCGCGTGTCATCATACAAGTCATACTTTTGAGAATTCTCAAAACTCACCTGTCGCCGCGTGTCATCATACAAGTCATACTTTTGAGAATTCTCAAAACTCACCTGTCGCCGCGTGTCATCATACAAGTCATACTTTTGAGAATTCTCAAAACTCACCTGTCGCCGCGTGTCATCATACAAGTCATACTTTTGAGAATTCTCAAAACTCACCTGTCGCCGCGTGTCATCATACAAGTCATACTTTTGAGAATTCTCAAAACTCACCTGTCGCCGCGTGTCATCATACAAGTCATACTTTTGAGAATTCTCAAAACTCACCTGTCGCCGCGTGTCATCATACAAGTCATACTTTTGAGAATTCTCAAAACTCACCTGTCGCCGCGTGTCATCATACAAGTCATACTTTTGAGAATTCTCAAAACTCACCTGTCGCCGCGTGTCATCATACAAGTCATACTTTTGAGAATTCTCAAAACTCACCTGTCGCCGCGTGTCATCATACAAGTCATACTTTTGAGAATTCTCAAAACTCACCTGTCGCCGCGTGTCATCATACAAGTCATACTCCTGGCCCGCCTCGCCCTCCCGCTGCACCTCCACCAGTGCCGCCCTCCCCACAGCCAGGTACGTGAGCGGCAGCAGCGCCGCCTGCACCGCAAACAGCCCCGGCAGCAGCGGTGAGTGGGGTGCGATCCACGAGGGCGGCCGATGAGCCAGCACTAGAAACAGCGCCCCTGCTATGGCCGCCAGGAAGAGGAGAGCTCGCGGCAGCAGCGGCAGGAAGAGGAAGAACTCTGCCTGCAGATACACACCAGTAGCCACACCCATGCCTACTGCGTACCCCACCCGCACCGCCTCCACCTCCCCTATGGGGATCGCGCGGAGGAAAGCAGCTAGACCGGAGAGGATGAGGGAGAGGAGCAGCCAGGCGGGCCAGAGGGGGCCGTGCGTGGGGAGGGCGTAGATGGTGGAATCGTCGGGGTCATCCTCGTCGGGGAAGTGTGCCGAGTCCCAGAGAGCACGCCATGCGGGGGGAAGTGGGGGTTGCACGCACATGAAGAGCGCTGCTCCCGCTGCTGCCAGCGCTGCTGCTCGCCTTGCAGACTGAGGGGGGGAGGCGGGGGAGGGGGCCGGGGGAGAGGGGGAGAGGGGAGAGGGGTGAGGGGGAAAGGGAATGCAAGTGAGAGGTTATCGTGCAGATAGAGCCATAGGGGGGCGTGTGTGGGGAGGGCGTAGATGGTGGAGTCGTTGGGTTCGTCCTCATCGGGGAAGTGCGCCGAGTCCCACAGCGTGCGCCATGCGGGGGGGAGGGGCGGCTGCACGCACATGAAGAGCGCTGCCCCCGCTGCTGCTAGTGCTGCTGCTCGCCTTGCAGGCTGGGAGAATTGGGGGGAGAGATGTGAGGGAGGGGTGGGGATGGGGAAGGGGGTGAAAGGGAAAGAGGGTGTTGTGAGTGGGAGAGAGTGAAGGCGATGGATGAATCCAGGAAAAGGGGGCGGATGGGAGGGATGAGAGACGGTGCATGTAATCTGGGTTGAGAATGTGGTGTCAAGCAACGGATGGAGTGGCACAGGAAGGAAAGAAGAAGTGTGTGGGCGATTGAGGGTGGTGTGCAGGTGAATGCTGAATAGGCACAGAGCGGTATGCACCATGCGGAGAGAGGCATGTGACATGCGTTCACTACTCACCATGGAGTGGGGAAAGTGGAGGAGGAGGATGGGCAGGCACGCAGCAATGGCAGCGAGCAGCAGAGCACCAATGAGCAGAGCGTGGGAGGGGCGGTGGCCCGTGAGGGACACGGCGATGTCGAATAGCATGAAGCGCGCGTGCACCACTGCTGCCACTGCCGCTGCTGCATGCACCACCGCCATTCCTGGGCGCATGCGCGAGCGCGCATGGGCCTTGTACCTGCAAGGGAAGGACGGGCAAGGGGGTTGGGCAAGTGAGGAGCGAACACCAGGCTCTAGTGGCACACGATGGTCCACGTCTAGTCAAGCTACAAGGGGGTGGATTTCCCGATAATCCCTGAACCCCTCGTCTACCCTCCCTCCCAAATGCCCATAGGTAGATGAAGAAGGGCAGGGTGACTGCGAGCAGCAGCAGCAGGGAGCAGAGGGTGGTATCAGCGGAGGAGACAGCGAGCATGGGGAGCTTAGCCAGTCTTATTGAGTATTCTCACAGTGCAACAAGCATAGCCCCTTCTCACCGGTAGAGGAAGAAGGGCGGGGTGATAGCAAGCAGAAGCAGCAGGGAGGAGAGCGTGGCGCCAGGGGATGACACAGCGAGCATGGGCAGCTTGGCCAGGTACACACACCACCCCACCCACTCCGCCACCGCCCCTATCTTGTGCTCCGCGTGTAACCGCTGCACCGCTGCCAGCCCTGCCACCGTGGTGGTTACCACCAGGAAGCTCGGATACACGCCCTCCTCCGCCCGCCCGTCCCCGTTGTATAGCAGGCTCTCCAGCCTGGGGGGGGAAAGGGGGGTGGACGAGGAGGGCGCATGAGGGGAGGTGGTGGTGGGGGCGGGGGGCACGGGAGCGGGATGACGCGAGGGGAAGAGAGAACAGACGGAAGCACACAAGCAATTAGAGGAGTGAGATACATTGTGTGCAAGGTGCTCCCAATATTTGCCATTCACCATGGCTGAAAGCAATGAGCCTTTCAGACTCCTGCTGGACTTCACATGCACACTCACCATGCGATCAGCAGCGCCTGTAGCACCACCAGCACCCCACCCAGCAACCCGCTGCAGGCAATGCAGCAGCTCAGCAGACCTCCCAGCGCTGAAAGCAATGGGCCTTTAAGACTCTACACGCACCACAGGACTCCACACACGCGCACTCACCATGCGAACAGCAGCGCCTGCAGCACCACCAGCACCCCAGTCACCCTCTGCGGCCGATGCAGCAGCGTGGCGGCGGGCACGAGCAGTGCGAGCAGCAGCGCAGCGAGCATCCCCTGGCAGATGGAGCGCAGCGGCACGCCGGCGACGGAGAGGGCGAGGAAGAAGAAGTGGTCGAGCACGAACCAGGTGGCAGCGATGGCTGCTGCTGCTGCGAATATGAGGTAGGAGGTCAGGGAACGGGAGGAGTGGAAGTGTGCCAGGTACACTGCTGCTATGGCGGGCGCTGGGAGCATCTGGTGGGGGGATGGGGTGAGATGCACGGGAGGAAGTGGGGAGGGAAGGGGAAGTAAGGGGGTGAGGGAGACGGAGTGGGGGAGGAGAGAGAGCGGATGGAGTGGAAGCGTGCCAGATGGACTGCTGCTATGGGGGACGTTGGGAACAGCTGGAGGGAGAAGATGTGGGTTGGGGAGAGCTTGTCAGATAAGGGGTCATGGGAGAGGGTGGGGTTGGGGAGATGAAGTGAGTCGCTTTGCCCATTCGTTGCATGTGCTCCTATGCGCTTGATGTGAGTCTTGCTTACTCGTGTGGCGTGTTCTTGGGGCTTTGCAGAAAGCGGAGGAGATTAAAAAGATGCGCTCGGGAATGGTCCACCGTGCAGTTTCCAACCCAAGCCCTCCTATAATCGCACCAGCCTCGCCATTTCGGAACAAAGGGTTCGTTATAGGAGGGCTTGGGCTGCAGAAGGACCATTCCCGTGCGCATCTCTTTAATTTCCTCCTCCTTCTGCAAAGCCCCAAGAACACGCCACACAAATCAGCAAGTCTCACCGCAAACGCATAGGAGCATGTGCAACGACGGGGCAAAGAGGGTGGGGTTGGGGATATATGGTCAGAGAGGGGTCTTGGGAGATGGAATGAGGGGGTAGGGGAGAGAGTGGGGATTTGAGGGGATGGAGTGCGGAGAGAGAGTGACAGAGGGATTAGTGTGGTGAGAAGTAGTGAAGCAGCGCATATACGGGCACACTTGCATGTTACACGTATCGAGAGTGTTTTGAGCAGCCTGCAAGACTCACAGTGAGGGGCATGCCAAGCACGAGGGATGCAGCAAGTGAGGAGACGAGCAGCACAGTCATGAGCACGGACGTGCCCACAAGCCCTGTAATGAGCCCCAGCAAGTGTGCAGCAAAGCCAAAGGCGAGGCCAAAGAGGGCAAGCGTGACGAGGATGTAGTTGAGGGGCGGCGGGAAGTGGATGTAGTGCGCGAAGGACGGGAAGATGACCCGCACCTCCCCGCACACCAGCACCACTGCCAGTGCGAATGCCCCGTTCACCACACGCACCTGGGAAGGGGGCAGGAGGGGGAACAGGAGGGGGAGCATGAGCGAGAAGGAGGGCAACCAGAAGGGGGAGCAGGAGGGGGAGCACGAACAAGGAGGAGGGCAGGCAAGAAGGAGGAGCAAGCAGTCAAGCCCAGCCCCTCCACGCTCCGCTCATGTGTCGTGCACCCATGTCCCTCCCACGTCCCTTGTGCGTCCCTGCTACGCACGTGTTGCAGCTTGGAGTGGTCTAAGACGAGCCAGTGCAGCGCGCCTCGGGTGGACGCGACGAGCAGGAAGAGCACGGGCAGGAAGAAGAGCAGCAGATCATCGCAGATATCACCCGCTGACTCCATCCAACGGTTGCGATGCACCGCCACGTGGAAGCTCAATGGCAGGAACAGCAGTACGGCCGCGTGAATCGCGCTCTCCAGCGACCCGAGAATGAACACGTCGTCAGATTCTTTCGCACGGAGCCGCGGATGGTGCTTCGCGGCGCGGAAGGAGGAGGGAGCGGGGAGGGAGAAGAGCCAGAAGAGCGCGAACAGCACGGGCACGAGGTAATACGGCGCGTAGACGATCCCCACGGAGGCGACTAGCCCCCAGGTGACGATGGCGACGGCGGTGAGGGGCGTGCAGGCGAAGAGCAGTCGTTCGAGTGTGAGGACGACGAAGGGGTGCTCGAGATGCAGCCATCGGAACTGCAGCGACACCCACACGCCGCACAGGAACACGAGGTTCACGGACGACAGCAGCACCAGCAGCGACAGTGGCACGGGCACGTGTGGCGCGAAGCCGACCCCCGAGAACGCGATGGCGGCAGCGGTGGAGAAGAATGTCGTCCAGATTGCGACGAACGCGGCGGTTTTGAGCTGCAGCGCGTCGAGCACGTACGAGAGCATGAGCCCCGCCACCAGCGTGCCGACCACCACGGGCCCTCCCGCGCCCAGCAGCACCAGCACGCACGGTACCAGCGCCGACGCCACCCGCGCATTGTACTGGAACGGATTTGGGACGAACCTGCCATCGCCCGCCGATGCCGTCGATCCTGACGGAGACGGTGACGATGACGGGACGGGAAGTGGACGACGCGGCGGACCAGGAGACGTGTGGGATGCTGCGTACATCATCTCGGCGGGAATGGCACCCGAACCAATCCTTTGTTCGTAAGAGGCAGGCAAGCCTACCGTGCCTGGTCACGGAATCGGACAGCCCGCATCGCTGCTATACTCTTGAACTACCACAATTCAGTCTAGACTGCCGCAGCTCCATTCGATTAACTTGCTGTTGCATTCCCTGGCGGCCTGGTCTCAGTAGTTCGAATTCGTCCCGAACCGAGTTCCCAAGGTGCTCAACAGTGATGGCCTGTCTAGTCTGTCGATCATCATTAGCTCTAGCTGTTCCTCTGTCCGTGCGGAACTGACTGCCGATCTGCGGCGCGCGGCGAAATCGATGCTTGTTTCCTTCACTTAGGCCAGGCCGAGCCAACATGATCGGCACTGGGGATCAAGACATCATTCGTTGGGCACCGTATTGCAAACCACTGTACAGCTCATGAACTCCTCCAATCTTGAATTATGTTGCAACTTAAAACCATTTCGCAATGCCAATTCATCATTGAGCGTTGAACAGGCAAACTTAATCTTAGTTCAAGATCCATATACAAGCACAAACAACGGTGCACACCTTCATATTTATTAAAAGGGGATAAAGACCACTGGCTAGTCATGTGGTCAAAAGCAGGGGAGAAACTCTAGAACAGGGAAACACGAGGGGGACAAGGTCTGCAGGCCATGAAACCAGTCACCGCAGGATTGAAGGCTACAGGCGGTTGGCCTGCTACCAAAAACGGTAGGGAGACGAGGCCTGTCGGAAAGCCCTGGATGAGCGGCCAGGGGCTTACTGGCATCGTAGGCACTGGAGCAGCCTGAAAATCTCTGGCTACTGGCAGAGTAACTGAAGGTTCGACATAAGCTACCCTTGGTCTTTTCGAAGCAGGCTGACCAGTCTCATATGAGTGAAGCAGCTGTACCACAGACTCGTTATGACCTTCAGCTGAAGAAAGGCCCGGCGTTGTTACTGCTGGGGCGTCAATGACCCCTGAGATAGCATTCGCGCTGCTGCACTTGCTCGCGCTCACGTTCTCCGATTCCTCGTTGCAACCCACACGGGAAAGTAAATCAAGCTCAACCGGTCCTTGATCCATTCCTGACTCGTGCACGTTCTCTTCCGAACTCTTTTCGAAGCCATCATACGCGATCGGTTTTGCCAACATCTCCGCTTCGTTCCCGGCAGATTTTGCTTGAGAGGAAGACATCTCGCGCGACGATGAAGGAGAAACTGCTGATGTGCAGTCTCTCGTGCCAACATCCTTCGCTTTAGTCCCCTTCAGCTTTCCTATCTTCAGGTGAGCAGCCGAATTTGGGTCCACAAGAAGCTGACAAAGCGCTCCCTTCACAGTATCGATCTTTCGTTTTCTCTGCAAGGAGAAGAAGCGGCATAAAGCAGTGTTGTCTTGTTAGATGTTTCTCGTTGGAAATCCGAGCGAAAGTCGCAACGACAGTAAGAACACAAACGGCAAGAGTAGAGCGCCTCGAGTGTCTCACCTCTTCTTCACCGTTCGTAAGCGCGAATGGCCGCAGACGCTCGGGAGGTGTGGAATTTTCTAAAGCGTGAAGCATGTTGTCTAGCTTGCGAACCTTCCGAAAAGGCCACCTCTGAATTCCGTGTTCACGACATTGCTGCTTCAACACGGTGACACAAACGCCCAACTGGAAAAAAAACCAAAAAAAAAGGGAAATACGCCCAACTAGATCAGCACCAGCCACAAAAATATAACAAACCGAAAACGATGTCGCGAATCGTGTGCATACCTTGCAAGCAGCTTCGTTTATCGGAAGGTGAAAATGCTCCATTAGCTCCTGCAGGGAAATGGTTCGCGAGCGGTTGCCCGTTGGAAGCCGGACCTGCACAAGCGGATAGGTTTGTCAGATCATGAACCTTGGAGCACAGCAACCTCAACGGACTTAGCCGTGCAAAGTGACCCTTACCCTGCTTCCATAGCCCACGGTAGGGGCCTCCGGCTCCGGAAGAAACTTAGGCTGGCACATGGTTGATAACCAAGCGCAAGTGATGATTTAGGTTCGATCAGCTAGAGTGCTCAGCTGAGAACTTCACCTATTCCTGTTGCTGAGTTGTGCCTGCTGTTGCGTGCCTTCCGTAAAAGAGGAAGCTAAAACGTCGTCAGTCAGGTAGCAGACTCAGGAACCAGCAGCACGTGCCCCAGAGTAAACTTGGCTGAAAATGCAGTCCCCTTGCTTTCAATACGGGCAGACTGGCTAACAGATGAACACCAGGAAGAGCGTTGGGCAGTGATGATGTGGCACTGGCAGCTGTGTACGTACGACTCACGCGGAAAGGCGAGGGCAGCCTAGCAATTTACCACCCTCGTCGCCCTGGACAACGTCCCTCCAGCTGCCGCGGATAAGACGACACGGCGGGGCCACACTCGTCGCAACGATTCACTTCATTCCCTCGAACCGGTGTTGCGCGACTTGGCTGGATGAGGTGAGGAAAAAGGGGAAGAGCGGATGGATGGGATGGGAGAGGGCGGAAGAGCAGGGCCAAACCGGAAGGTCACCGCCACCATGCGCGGTAGCAGACAACCTTGCCTCACTGGTGGCGGTGGCACTGCCCGCACGCGGAAATCTAGGACCAATACCGCAACCGCCGCGCGCGACGGGCATTGCTGAGAGTGCCTCCTCGTCAGCAGCGTCTGGGTAGGAACGGAACGATCAACGACACGTCCGGCCACATGAACCGCCAACATGACATCGAAAAGGCAACCTTCATCATTTTGATCCAGCGAGGCAACGTGGGGAGCTGGCAAGGGAAGCTATGCCAGCGGAATGCGTCCATGTGTCATCCTAGACCAATCAAAGTAATTCAGACGTGATGTGCTGTTAATTCAAATTGAATCGTGGATTCTGTTCAAACGAACGAAATCTGCTGCAAGTCGCATGTACCCAAACCTTTTCAGTGCCAGCCAATTACGTAACCATGGAGAGATGTTTTGTGGTCCCTTCGAGCAGAAATTTTATATTGAGTGGACAGTTATACTGCATACCGTTATACTTTGATATGGGCTTCTCTCCGAAAGACAAGATGATTGCGATTGATGTATCATTTGATACGTTAACCCGGTCAATCTCACAGTGGCGTAGATGGACGCAACACCCTCTCATTTTCATGCCATTAGATTGTTTGAGTCACGAAGCAAGAAAATTTTCCCTACAGAGGCACCGACAGAAGAAATTAGCAGAGAAGCTTCCTCCGAATCTAATCGCTGCCAGGATAGACATTTTCTCCTGTCATCGTCTTCCTTGGAGGTGTCAGCCAGTCGTAACAGACCACAGCACGAGGCTTGTGTGATGGCTTTGTGCTTCACCAGCTCCGTAAGGCTCAGACAGCCTGGCACGGACCCATAGTGCCCCCAATTTCGAGGTGACGTTAGGCGGCAGGAACGACATCAACGTCAACAGACGAATACACTACAAATCATCCAAAGAATCACTCCTTACCAAGAAACAACCACAGAACCTTGTCTTCAATATCTAAAGGGACTGATTGTATCCAAAGAGATGCAGATGTGTGGGGTCACACGCTTTGCATATAGCTCTCCACTTCACACAGCTCTACCACACTGAATCCATCGACTTCAAATGAGCCTTTTCTTACCATTTTTACCGTACTACCAGTGTGAAACGCCTGCCATAGCCAGCAATGGACCTGCTCCAGGCTGACTTCCACAAGAGGTGAGACTCTCCAACATGGCCTGGCATTCACTATTACAGGCTAGCTCTTTTCTGACCAAGTACAGTATCGACCTCCATAACCATTGGCAAGCACACGGAGCGGCTACTGGTACACCGTACCGTCATCACCCGGATATACGACAGTGACGAATTGAAGACATGGGGTGTCTTAAAAACGGGTGTATTCTACAGATGGGTGTTCCTGTACGAATTAAGCCAGTGTAGGGGTTGGGGGGGTAAGCTTATGACAAATAATTTTGTGCCGCACAGACCAAACCTTACAAAAAATCTCATCCAGAAACAAGGCTCTGCTAATGGCTACAACAGTTGCACATTTGAGCCGCAACCACTGCATCACCGTAAGGAGCTCAGGGTCCTATCTGAATGCACCGAATTGAGGTCAGAAAGTGTGGCTCTACGCGTCGTGCTTCTCCGGGGGGGTGAGGAAGGCCTGACCCGGCTTCCTGTTGGCAAGAGGACCGTGGTTGCCCAGCAGCTGTCATGGCAGGCAGGTGGGCAGCACACACACACATGGGGGGAGGTGTCATGGTTGGGGGCAAACAGAGCATTGTGTGTACGAAAGAGTGAGTGAGGGACTGAGTGGGAGAGAGAGAGAGAGAGAGAGAGAGAGAGAGAGAGAGAGAGAGAGAGAGAGAGAGAGAGAGAGAGAAAGCACAACAAGCAAAACTAACATGAAACATGGAACGGAAGCACACAGAGGCCCCTCAAGCGCACCTTGGCGTTGACACCATCGTGCACGAGCCTGTTCTCCTGCTTCCACTTCACAAAGTCGGCGCGAGCAATCTTCGTGAAGCCCCTGTTGCACCACACACCAGGACACACAAAGAAACACGATTAATCACGCGAGAAGCATGATCAGTTTGCGAGAACACACCAAGCTCAGTAAGAATCTGAAAACACTTCCAGCCACAGTGCCACTCCCCAAAGCCTACACTGTTACTGACCAATCTCCTCTCCTGCCCTCTCCTCTCCAATCACCTTCTCCTGTCCCCTCCCACCCGCCCTTGACCCACAAACCAGCTCAACCACCCATGGGCGGCAGAATGCGGGAGCTCACCACTTGCGGCTGGCGATGACCTTCTGGCGCCCGGGGAACTTGAACTTAGCGCGGCGCAGCGCCTCCGCGGCGACGGCGGCGTTGGCCTCCTTGCAGCGCACCGACAGCAGCACCTGCCCGATCGCCACGCGCGCGCACACACCCTGGGGCTTTCCGAACGCGCCGCGCATCCCCGTCTGGAGCCTGCTCGATACAACGGGGGTGAAACAATGATTGTCGCGATTACTCAGAAGGTGAACGCACCATGCGGCTTTGCCAACAGAACAACAAAAAGCAGCATTAATCGTTATTCGCGTTGACAAATTCGGATCTCACTCATGCTTTATACAGCCAGCGCAAGTTTCCTGGGTCCAAGCACAAGCGCGCACTCATCGGCGCGGGCGCAGCACAGACTCACCTATCATCGCCGGCGCAGGAAAGCACCTTGCTGATGCGGAGAACGTGAAGGGTGCAAGCGGATGCACAGGTGAGCGCACCAAATAGCGGGCGGGGGGAAGGAGAACGTACCTATCAGCCCCAGCGCAGGAAAGCATCTTGTTGATGCGGAGGACGTGGAAGGGGTGCACGCGGATGCGCAGGTGGAAGGCGTCCTTGCCCGCGTACTTGGTCATGTACTTGTTGCACGCAATGCGCGCCGCCTCCAGCGCCTCGCTCGACACATTCTCCTTCTCCCAACTGCACCGAGCACACACACGCAAACGAAGCGGGCGGGCAGCACGGATTGGGGAATTGGGGGGGAAATTTAAAGAGGGGAGATCCAATATGAAGCGGACTTACGGCAGAATCTTGGCTTGGTTTGGCAAGGCAAGAGCGCACAGGATTGACACCTTGCGTAAGTACATGTTACGCTTAGGCACGAGCAGCGGCCTCAATCGTCATATTTGCCATCGCTGCTAAACCCTGAGCCCTGACGTTCAAGCGTTCGGAGAACCGGCGCGGGAGAACGGAATCAACTTAGGTTTGAACCCAACGGCACACGTGAGAGATAGAGAAGGGCGAATTGAAGGTGAAAGACTGAGAAATTCGAGTAGAAATGCTGGTGAACTAAACGCACACACTGGTCAGAATCAACGAGCGGGGCTATCCATACGAGTTCGCACTGCAGCCGCTGGGGACCGCTCCAAGGTAACGGTACTGCTAGATGGCAACGGTGCGGAGGACACGTGGAACTAAATACCCTACCGTCGACTTTCGCGAATGCCGAACAGAATCAACGTCGCCGAAAACTTCTGCTGCTGCTGCTGCGCACGTACCGATCGGTGTGTACGGCCTGAAAGCTATACTCAGAACTGACTCTACTAGGCGAAGCTGCGACGGTGTTGATCGAGCCGCTAGCCCGATACGTCTTAGGGCAAGGCATCAACTTCTCGAATCTATTACGAGCGAAGCACACGTTTTCCTGCCTCCGCCGCCGTTTGTCCCCGCCCGGATAAAGCAAGGGCCAGGTCCTAAAAGCGTGTCTAGTGGCCTAAAACGAAAGCACATACGACAAGGCGGTCGTACTCGACGAGGGGTCGTACTCGACGAGGGGTCGTTCCTGACGCGGCGGCTTTTACCTAACGAGGTGCACGCAGTAGGGGAACTCGTCGACGCCCCTCTTCTTCATGCCCACGTCATAAATGCGAATCTTCGCATCTGCACGTTACCAGACAGCCATAGCGAGTGCCACGTCACAATCAATCGCGTCAAGAGAAGCATTTAAACGGATTATGGCTAAGGTCAGGCATAAGCGTGCTGACATCAAGGAACGAGACGAAACCCTAATTTCCGTGATGGAGATGAAAAGAAAAGAGCGACGCACCGGGAACACCACGGCAGTATCGCGACTTGGGATAGGGCTTGTTCTTGATCTGACGGTAGCACCGAGCAGGGCCTGTTGACGTCACGGACACACGTACGACCCACAAAAAATGCGCAAAAAACAGATGGCCACTGAATGAGTATCTATTAGAGAAGAGCATAAGCATCGCAAAAGCTGGATCGGAAATAAGCAAGCGTCACTTACGGCGACCCATGGCTTCTAATGGTTGCTTCAACGCCTCGCAGGACTACTCAGGGGTAAGAGGAGCCGACAAAAAGGTAAGCGAGAATATATACAGTCTGGAGAGGAAGAGCAAGATTCTGAGCCGATGATTTGGTGGGCCAATGATGGAAGGAGGGTTTAGCGCTTTCCTGCTTGCTCCGCCCCGTTACTTGTGCGCGGATGTGATATTCGCGA